CGCTGCCACGCTACTGGAAGCCCCGCGCCGGGCAGGCCAGGCGGCGAGCTGCACTGTCTCGCAGGGTTGCCTACCCCGCTTCGCGCAGGCGCTTCCACTGTTCGCGTTGTCTTCTGAATCCTCTGCGTTGCCGGTCGGTGCTGCTGGACCGGCAGCCAGCAGCCGCGCTGCTGCGCAGGGAAGGCCTAGCGACGCTTCGCTGGGCGGAGTGGCGCCGTGGTGGGGGGCACTGCCAGGGCACTGCCAGGGCACTGCGGGAGAGGGAAGCCCCGCGAGAAGGCGCGCCGAGCCGCGTCCCGGCGCGCGCTTTGTTTGCGCTAAGCGTGCGTTGACCCGGTGCGCCCCGCCGCGCCGCTCCCCGCCCCGCCAGTCCCGCCAAACGCGGCGCGGCAGCGCGGGGCGTCCTGTCCGGTCACCCTGAGTCAGTCCAGCGGCAGGCCGGCAGGGCGTATGCCATGTTGATGACCGCCAGCGCCCGCGACCGCGCCCGCCCATGTCGGGCGTCGCGGTGGCCGGCGTGGCCGCGCGCCACCCTGATGGGCCCCCGCGGTGGCGAGTGGGGCGTTGCCGCCTCCCCCACTCGACGACGGCGAGGACGGCGATTTCGTGCCGGACGCCCCGGGTTTGGCGCGGGAGTTTCATTTTTGGCGCCCTTTTGTGGTCGTCTGAGATGTGCGCGCTTATCAACGTGAAGGAAGTGGCCGCTGTGGTGGGTGGGGCGGCGGGGCACGGCCGCCCGGGCATGTCCGGGAACCGGGCAATCGTAATGACCGTGGAGGGGCCTTGGGCCTTGAGGCGGGCCGTGTACCTGGCAGGCAGCAGGCACTGCCTCGCTCCCCGCTCCGCCCCGCTTCTTGGCGGCGTGGCGCGGTGGTCAGGCCAGGCTTGCCTGTGTTGGCCCAGGCCGCCAGGCCGCGGGGCCCGCGAGGGGGCGGGAGGGGCTCCGCGTCCGTGGCGCGCCAAGGTCGACGGTGTTGCGAGGAAGCGCGCACCGTGTCCGCGACCCTGCGGTCTGGCCGCCAGGGCCGAGGCACCTGCTTCTTCCTTGATACTTGGGCCCTCCGGAGATGGCCGGACGCCGGTCCAATGGGTTGGTGGCCGTGGCGGCGGCGCCCGAGGCTCTGAACGTGAACGGCCTGTCATCCGGGGCGACGTCCTCTCGTCTGGAGGACATGCCACGCTCGGGTGCGGCGTGCCGCCACGCCCCTCGCCACCCTCTGTCTCGCCGCCCGCCGCCCGCCGCCCCCACTCTGCTCGCCTCGATGCCTTATTCAGTGACCTTTCACAATGCAGGCAGCAGCGCCACGCGTCGCCCAGGATGTCTGTAACGGAGCCCCATGGCGATGAATGGCGAGGATGAGGACGAGGGAGGGCTGCGGCCGCGCGTTATCTTTGCTGAAGGGATTACGAGACTGTCGTGCCTGCGCCGTCCTCGCCGCGGCGCCGCGGTGCGCTCAGTGCCACAGGCAATGCCAGCGGGGCCGCGTGGCACGTCGCGCTTGACGGGGACCTCGAAGGCGCGGCGCAGCGCGGCGCAGCGCGGCGGCCGTAGTCCTGGATGCTGGCGAAGTGCAGCCCCAGGGATGCCGCCGTGTCGCAGCGGTAGATGCACGTGCCGATCTGGTTCTTTTCTTTTGTCTGCCCGGTTTCGTCTGGCGTCTCTCGGTGGCGGTGCGGCGGGCTCGAAGCTCGAAGGCCGTCGTCTGGGTCCCTTTGGGGCAGACACCGGTGCAAAGTTGGACCGCAGCCCCGCTCCCTCCCCGCCACCCCGCGGGTCAGGCCAGGCGAGCTGGGTGTCCGTGGGACCGGGTCCGGTTGGTGCGGCGGCGCGGCAGCTCGCGTTACGTGTGGCCAGCGCACCGCCCGGCGCAGCCCGTCTCTGATTGGCCCGTCGCAGGCCTTTCATCACCCCGTGATGCCGTCCGGGACGGTCCGCCGGAGAAATGAAATGCCGAGTCCGCGCCGCTCGTTGACACGGCGGCCCCCGCCAGGGCGACCCTGGTAGTCGTTTTGCAGCTGCTGACCGGCGCGCGGCGCGGCGCCAGGACCTTGCCGTCATCCCCTCCAGGACCGCCAGGGCTGCAGCTTGGCTGGCTCCTCGAGTCAAGGCGAGGTGCGCGTTGGGTCCGCCCTGCCCTCGTCGCTCTCGGCGTCCTCTTGTGACGAAACAAGGCGGGGCCCGCGGTGGCCGCGTCCGAGACGCTGAAAGGCTCGCGGAAAGTGGCGCTGCTTTGGGCGGAGGACACGACGGGCCGAGAGAGAGGCAAGGCTGCCCCAAGGGCTGCCCGCCCGGCCGTCCGTCTCATTTGCTGACATTGTCTAAAAGACTGTGTACAACCCGGCGGCGTTGGGAGCCCTGCCCGGCCCGACCCTTGAGACGGGGTGCGGTGCAGTGCGGTGGTGGGTGTGGCCTCTGCTGCAGCGCGCGGTCCGCGACGTGGGGCGAGGGCCCGGCCTGTGGCCCGGCGGGGACGTCTGGCCACTTTAGCACGAGTCCTCATGATCGCTGACTGCAGACGGGCTTTGTGTCTCGCAAATGGCTTCTCGGTTGATGGAGGGCCCTTGGCCATGCCCGCGCCCCGCGCCCGCCTTTCCCAGAGATGATCGCAAACTTTGAGGGTAGCTGCACCGGCAGCACCGCCAGCTGGGGCCAACCCGGGCCAGCTCGAGCCAGCCTGGCCGGATGGTTTGCGGTGCGGTCAGCCCGGCCGGGCCCCAATCCGAGGCGGTGCGGCGAGCTGCTCACTCGCCGAGGCGGCCGATGATTACTGCTCCATCTTCGTATGGTCTAACATTGTTATTGCCACGGGCGGGATTCGGGATTTGAGGCCGAAACCCCCGACCGCCTCGCCCCTCCAGACGTAGACGGGGAGGTGGAGGGAGAGCAGGGGTCGGCAGGACGCCGCCGACGCACGAACGTCTGTCCTCGTCTGGGGAAAGGGGGCGGGAGGGGCAGGGGCACGCCCAGGGCACGCCGGCCGGCTCCGCTTGGCTCCGCGCGCGCTTTGTGAGCGTTGTGGTCGGCGCTCCCAGCGGGCTGCTTTCGGAGTTTCTCTCTGTCTTTCTCGCACTCACGCGGCGTCCCGCACGGGTGCGAGAGAGACAGAAGCAGCCTGCAGGCAGCTCCCCGGTCGGGTCAGGCATTCGGCCCTGGGCGGCTCCGAGCACTCCGGGCTGCTCCGGGAAGGCTCCGAGTCGAGGGGCCCAACGAGCTCCAGGGGCCAGGCGGGCCGGGCCAGCCGGCATGAGGCATCCGGTTTGGCCGGCAACCGCCGACGCCACGCCACGCGACGCCCGCCGCTCATTTCCAGACGGGCAAGGCGGGCACGCCGGCACGCTGGCACGGCGAGGTGGGGGCGGATCTTGCATACACCGCGGGAAAGTGGCACTGTAGGCGAGGCGGCAGGACCGAACCGAACCGAGGCGGAAACGGCATTTCGATTTGCCGAACCGGCGAGCGGCCGTCTGCGTTATCGGGCCGCACATTGGTCGCCGGCTGGTCACTGCCACTGCATTGGAAAGGCGGCACTGCGCCGCCGAGCTGGCAGCCCGTCGCTGGCGCCTGTCCCTGTTGGACCCGGAAGGGGGCCGACCGGTGGCCGACGTCGTCCCTCGCAAAGGCCTCACCGCGTCGCGCTGCGCTCGCTGCGAGTGCTGTACGCCGTACACCTGCAGTGCCGCTGCCGCTGCCTCCCCCGGCCAATTATCGATGCATTTATACCGTCCGGGCCGTGCCGGCCCTGCCGGCCCTGCCACGCCACGCAACGCCGGTGCGGTGCATTCCAAACGCTGCCGGCTCCTCACATTTCTCTGCTGCTCGGCGAGCAGTGCTCGCACTCGCCGGGGGCCGGGAATTTTGGTGCGGTGGCCTGGCTGGCGGGCTGCCTGTTTGGCTGGGGCGGGTGCGGTCGGGCGCTGTTCGCGGGGAAGCACATCGCGGCCTCCTTGTCGTTTGCTTTGAGAGTTCATGGCCTCACGGGGCGTGGCGGCGCGCGGACCGCGATGGATGGCGCTTTATTTCTATTTCGATCCATATGCTAGTGGGGTTGCACGTCGCCGCGTCGCCGCAGTCCGAGTGCACTGGCCACTGCCGTGCGCCGCGAGGTCGCGCCCGCCTCGCCACGCCATTTCGCGACTGCTGCACTAGTTACAGTCGATTATTTTTATCGGGACCGTGTAGTGAGGGTCTCGTCTCCGCCCGCTCGCAGGCCTTCTGGCTGCCCGTTTTGCGAACCGCGGAGGTCCACCTTCTGCTGGCCTCCGCCCCGCGGTGGTAACGGCGGCTTGCGGCTCCCTGGGCGGGGTGGGGCGGGGTGGGGCGGGGCGGGGCGGGAGGCCCAGCAAAGGGGTAGCTCAGAGGCCCCTGCCCCCTGGCCGAGGCCTGCCCTGGTGTCAAGGCGAGGCGAGGACGGCGTCAAGGACCCCCTCCCCTCCAGCGCCACCCCTCGACGCGCCCCCTAATGATTGGGTGGAGTGAGAGAGATACGCAATGCAGCATTTGGACCGGACCCGCTCGACGCCGTGCCTCGCCGTGCCGTGCCCCGCCATGCCCCGCCGTGCCCCGCCGTGCCTTGTTTTGCAAGCGGGGAAGGTCATGCGGCCCGGCGGCCTCCCCGACGGGGACCCTGCGGTACGCTGCGGGGGGCGAGGGCGAGACGAGGCCCTCGAGGGAGCCGCCGGAGCCCGCGTTGCGTAAGGCGCCGCAGTTTGTCTTTCAACTTCTCCGCGTTTTTGAGAGGTTGCCCTGGAGAAACGGCGCAAGTCATACGGACGTCACACGGCTGTCGGCGGTTCGTAAACGAGTGAGGGACTGCAGGGTGGTGACTCACGGGAGGCGTCCTCGCTTGTAGTGGAAGGGACCAAGGAACTGGGTGAACGGGCAGTAGGCCGCGCTGATGGCTGGCGAGGTCGCCTCTAATATGGCTGGGATTTGAATGGCGCGCTTTGGATTCAGGACGCGCGCTCTAATGGTTTCTAACGTCGTGTCCCTTTTGTTTCAGGTGAGGCTCAGACCGGTCGCTCGATCCGCGCCGCCCCTCGGCCCCAGCATGGGCCCCGCCCCACTGGCGGGGTCCCCACCGCCCCGCCCCGTCTTTTTAACAAATCAGGTGAGGTGTCCAGGATGACGTCCTGACGTTGCAAAGTGGGCCAGAAGACCGGTGGAAGCGATCAAAATCCCGGATGCGTTTTGAGCTTCAGAGTGGCTAAGTCGGACTCAAATCAAACGTTGTGACGCTATCAATGGATGGAGTCACACATTCGATTCTAGTTCCGTTGAGCGAATCTGAAACTCAAAACGCGTCTAGAGTTTTGGCCACGTTCACCGGCCTTCTAGCCCACCGTGAGTCGCGAGCGCGGGATTTCGGTGTGTATATGTGTTCTTGGGAGGGGTGGGGGCGCTAGGCCCGGTGGGAATCGGGAGGGCGCGTTTATTAGGCGCGTTTGAATACGCCGGGCGACGGCGAGGCCAGGGCTTTGCGCGGGGTCCCTCTGGATCCCCACCGCCCCGCCGTGTGGCTGCACGACAGCCACCCTATTTTCGGTTCGCGCCACCTTGCCCCTCGCGCGCCCTGCCCGCCCCGCTGCCCGCCCCAACGGAAGCTGTGGAAATGAACTTGTCAACCCCCGCGACGCTCCGCCGGCCTCCACCGGCCTCGCCCGGCCTCGCCCCTTCCTGACGCGGCCGACGGGGTCCTGACGGGGCGACGCCCCTCGCCTTCGCAACTTTCACGCAGCGATTCCAGTGGGACTCGGACTGGGCGTGCGGGGCGTGCGGGGCGTGCGGGGCGCGGCGTCGTGGCGCCGCGGAAGTACCGGCCGCTTTCTTGGCCGCACAGCGCCTCTCTCTCGCACTCACGGTGCGCGGCCTGTGCAGGTGCGAGAGAGAAGAGGCTGCCGGCTCATTGGCCGAGGCCTCGCCGTCGGCATCGAGTGGAACGAGGGTGACTTGCAAAGCGCTGCGCGGCGAGACGAGAGCTGTCGGACAGCCACCCCTAGCAGGCTGGATGCGAACTAGGCTTCGCGGTCTGTCTCTCTGGCACCAACACGGGAGGCCCCACGAGTGCGAGAGAGACCGAGCGACGAAACTCGTGTTCTGATCTAGCCAGCAGCGCTGGGGGTGGGGCGCCGCGCGTTGGTCGTCGAGACTTTAGCGGGGGGTCGCAATTTGCAGGCGATTTACTGGGCTTCCGCTCGCAAAGTGGAGGTGGAGGCAAATGGAGTTACCGCGCCGCCGGCCGCGCGGGGCGCCCTTCGCCGCGCCGATGCTTTTTTCGGCCTCTGCCATCGTCCGCCTCCAACGGACCTGTCTCCGAGGACGACCCATCACCGCCGATTTGAGGAAACGCTGCTAATCAGTGTCGATTTGTTTCGGCCTCTCGCTCTCTGGCCTCGTCCTCTGGACCGGCGGGAAATGGCCGAAGCTGTCGCGCAGTTCCTCCGCTCGCGCCTAACTGTCTCTCTGGAGGAGGGGGTGGGGGTACCACCGCGCACCGGTTGGGCCCCTCGAACTTGGACCGTGTAGGCGCCCCGTGCCCCGCGCCCCGTGCCCCGCCCTCGACGCGATTTGAAAGTGGTGCTCGAGTGCTTGTCGAAGTAGGGCGCGCGCGCCGGGCGGGAAGGCTGTACTACTACCGTGCACAGCCCGGTGTCGAGTCGATGTTCACGCTGCGCTCTTTCGGTCCTTAGTTGTTCTCCCCCCACCCCTCCCTTCCCCTCAGAAAGAACTCGAGGAGTCCGTAGAGAAAAGTTAAATTTATGTGCGCGTCTGTGCGCGGTGACGGCGTAGTCCTGCTGCTCTTCGGAAAGTTTTGTTTTGCAAACGGAGCGGAGCCAAGCCGGGCGGGCGGAGCAGATACGTCTCGACGCGTTGAGGTGCTTCTGCTTTGTCTGTACGTGTGGCGGGGCGTGGCGAGGCGGGGCGGGGCGGGGCGGTGCTTCCTGGTGGCGACCTCGCTTTTGTGTCCAGGCCGGCGAGCCGTCGCCGCGCCACCCGAGGCGAGGCTTGGCGGCCACGCAGTATTTTTAACGCCCTCCTTATGCCTCACGGGGTGCACAAAGGCGAAGCAGGGCGGAGCAGATGGGGCGTGGGGCGTGGACTGGGCAGAGGGCCGGGGCACAGCCAGGGCACAGCGAGGGCACAGCGCGGTGCAGGTGAACTGAGAAGCTCAGCTGAGCGAAAAACCGCTCTGGGAGAAGGGGCGGTGGCGGGGCGGTGGCGGGGCGGTGGCGGGGCATTGTCCGTGCGGACGGCCGGACGGCCGGACGGGCAGCCGGGCACCGCGTGGACGGCAGGCAGGTGTCTGGTGTCCCCGGTGTCCCCGGCGTCCCCGGCGTGCCCGAGTCGCTTCCGTTGGCGCGGCTCGCGGCCGCGTTCTCCAGTCGGGATGCGCGGCCCCACCCCACCCCACCCCGCTGCGCGATGCTCGCCCAGCCAGAAAGTGTACTTTCGCGCTCAGATGGCCCGGCAAATAAAGTGGAATTCCCGATAGGGTGCGGGGCGTCATGTGTGCGCCGCCGCGCCGCCCTGCACTGCTTGCTCGCGTACCCGCCCCGCCCCGCCCCGCCTCGCCCCGCCTCGCCTCGCCTCACCGTGCCTCGCGGGCGCCATACTCCGTAGGTAAACAAAGGTGTCTTTGCCGCCTGATGCTTGTTGCCCCCGCTTGAACGGGACCAGCTCCCCCCCCCTCCCCCCGCCCCCTCTTGGATCGATCACCAAAACATTCTGCAGTGGCCAGGGCCTCGCCAGGGGCAGGCGGGCAGTGCTCTCGTCCTCGCCCTACCTCTTACCTTGCCCCATCCCCGCGGCCCTGCGGCGTCCCTGCGGCGTCCCTTCGGCGTCCCTCCCTGCGGGGGCCGGGGGCGGGCTTGGGCGCCCCTTTGAGTCTGGCCGAGCCCTGCGCGCCAGCGCGACGCCCCGCTGCGGTGTAAGCCTCAAGTACACTTGAAGGGCTCCCGTCCCTGGAGCGGAGTGAGGGAGTGCGCGGCGGCCCGGCCCCTCGCCCGGGCGACGACGCCGTGCGACGCCGTGCGACGCCGTGCCTCGAGGCCGTTCCACACGGACGGGGCAGTCGTGGCGGCCGCGTCTGTTTATGTCCCCGTCGCTGATACGGACTGTGACGCCGACGCCGACCCGCGCGGCCCCTCCGCGGCGGTGGTGGTGGCGTGGTGGTCGAGGATCGAGGACCTTCACACCGGATAGGCTGCGCACCCTCCTCGCCGCCCCCTCGGATGATTGAAGGCGGCCTTGGATGACCTTGGGCAGCACCAAGCCGCAGCAGCGGGCACACGCACACACACACACACACAACCGCAGCCCTGCACCCCAACGTCGGCCCCCAGGCCACGCCGTACCGCTCCCCGCCAGAGCCCCGCGCAGGGGCCGGGGCTGACGTGCCGTGCCGCGAGCAGGGGGTGGGGATAGCACAAGTAAACGACCTCGCATCGGAGTCGGACCCGCCCAGCCCGGCCCGCGCCGTTATCCCCGCGAATGCCCCTTCCCCCTCTCCCCTTCCCGTGGCCCGCGGCGTGGCGACGGCGTGGCGGCGGCGTCATTTGCAAGGCGCGATGCCCCGAGTCCTCGCCGTTTTCTATTTCGCCCACCTCGCGTAAGTGCGGGCCTCACAAGACATGGGCGATGGCCTGGCGGCGTGGCGGCGTTCTCAGATGGACTCGGGAATCGCTCGCGCGGGTCGCGCTGCTCACGCGGGCGGGGCGGGTGAGGCGCGCACCGGACCCCGCCGCTCTCGTTCCGCGCCCGGTGTCTGGCGGGGCGGGCGGGGAGGGGTGGGGCGGGCAGACGCCCGAAGGCCCGGTTACACTGGCTGGGCTGGCAGGAGCGGCGTAGGCAACCTCCACCTGCCGCTGACACGCGCGTCCGGCGGGCCGGCCTACCTGCCGGGGGGCCGGCCCTCCTCTCCTCTTCTCCTCACACGACTCACGCACAGGACTGGAGTGCAGACTGGAAGACAGGAGCGGGCGGGCGGCGGGCGCGCTCCCCACCTCACGCCTCCCGCGTCCTGCTCTCCCGCTCCGCCTCGCGGTGTGGTGCGGTGCGGGAGTGTGGGGGCAGGGACTCCCGCACGCACGGGCGTCTTTCCGCAGACGAAGCCGAGCCGGGCCATGGGGCGTAGCCGGCGTAGCGTAGGTCCATCTATATTGCATACAGCTCGCTAATTCCCCTGAGCGGCGCGGTGCGCGGCCCGCTGGGGGCCGACCGGGGCTGCGCGGGGCTGCGGGGGCCGCTCGCTCTCCCGCCCTTTCTTCGATGGCAGGGGAGGGGGGATCAATAAGCCCCTCCCCTCGCTCATTCCTCTTCTCACTCGTCCTTTTTTGCGTGCCGGATTACCGAGTAGCCGTGCGTTGGCCGTGCGAGCGAGCAGCGGGTGTTCGAACCCGGCCCGGGGTCATGCCATTCCGTGGCGTTGCGGCGTTCCGCATACATGGGGCCGTCGCCCGGCCGAGGCAGCCGAGGCTTCAGGGCCGCAGAAGGGCGGACGGTCCCTGCAATACTTGCGACGATATTTCAAGTCGGTCGCGTGGCTTTGCTAGTCCTGCTCGTCCTGGCTGTCTGTCGTCACCGCGAGAGCCCCTGACAAATGGTTTGCTTTGACCGCGACCGCCGCGCAGCCGCGCCCTGTCCGTCAGCGAGGAGCCCTGAAGGCTGGAACGCGGGCGGGGCCCGGTAGGGGCGTCCGCCAAAGGGTGACCAGGGTGCGGCCGCCGGACAGGCAGGCAGCGCGGCAGCCAGGGAGCGAGATAAGATAACCTCGGGGCACCGGGGCCCGGCCCAGATAAGCGGTTTTTCATTCAAGAGCACTGGCCGGCCCCGCCGCGCCGCCGCGCTGATTTGTGATTTGGGGGCGGAGGCTGATCGACTGCCCTGGCCGAGGCGGCCGAGGCCCTGGCCGTTATCGCGTCCGCGCGTCGCGCGTGCAGAGTGGAAGGGCCCACACTGTAGGGCCACTTGCCTGACGCCTCGTGGCGCCTTGGCCGGCTGGCCTACGCCACGCGTGCCGGTGGACAGATTGCGCTCATCGTTTTGTCGCCCTGTCTCTTTCGCACCTACACGGATCGTCCCGTGAGTGCGAGAAAGACCGAGCGACTATAGTGTTTGGTATCAGCCCGCAGGGCCGTGGCCGCCGAGGCGGAGGGACGCCTCCTGTGGCGCCAAGTTCTAGTCGAGCACAAGTCCGCGGACGGAAGCCTTTGCGGGACCAATCGCATGGTCGCCGTTCGGTTCGCTTCGCCCCGAAGCGCGAAGCGGGAAGCACCCCCTGCCGCCCCGCCGGACTGGGTGGAGGCCTGGCGGGCCTGCAACCTGTTGCGCGACCAGAACCGCTTCGCGCGTGGACCTCGCCGAGCGGCAGTTGCACTACGACGGCGGACGTCGCGGCAGCATGGCGACGTGCTAGCGCAGGGCCTCGGCGTGGACGACGTCGCTCTGCGTCGCGCCATGTGGGCGTCGCGGGGGAAGGCGGGCCCGTCCCGTCCCTGCTCGGCCGCCAGAGGGGCGTACCGTACCGTACGCTGCGTCGCGACGCGACGGCAGGCTACGCCCCCACGTGGTCCCCACGTGTCGCCACGTGGTGGGCCGGTGCCGGTCTCGAGGCGCGCAGCGCGTCGCGACGCGTCGCGGCGCGTCGCGGCACCGCCACCGCCACGTGTGGCATGGTGCGTCTCTTTCCCTGCGCAGTGAGGCCCAGAAGCAGGGACACCCGCCACGCCGCCGCACCGCCCGGCTACGCTATCGGGCCAACATTTCCTGGTAGATAAACCTCGTGGCGCGGCCGCGGCGCCGTATGCCAAGCCAGCCAGCCAAGGCCTTGGCCAGCCTTGGCGCTGGCTGGCCCTAGCTGGCCCGGGCGCCCCTCCCCTCCCTCAAGTAGTAGCTTCCCAAGGCCGACTAGACTCGCTCGCCGCGGTGTGGCGGCGTGGCGCGGCCGGCGCGGCCGGCGCGGCGGCGGCGGTGGCCCCAAGGACTTCTGCCGTGGGGTCATGCCTTGGATGCCTTGGCTTTGGCGCGTTTCGTTTGGCCGCGCCGCGGAAAAGAAGCAGTGGCAGAAGCAGTCTTGTCTCGTCCCATCTAATCCGGCGGGGCCTTGCCTCCGCGCCTCGCCACGCCCCCACCACGCCGCGGCGCACGCGCTGCCCGCGGTCCTGGCCCTCCGCGTCCTTGGTCCTTGCCTGGCCGGCTCGGCCGGCGGTGAGGCGCTGACGCACCGAAATGCCCCCATTAGCCTTCGCGACAACCTTCCCTTCCGCCGCGTCGCCGTGTCGCTTTCCACTGCCGCGGCGTAGTCTTGCCCTCCTCGCCCCAGCTGGCCCCAGCCCCCACGGCGTACGTACACCGCACTGTACTCCCTTCGCGACCCTTGGCCTTGCCCAAGCGCACGTGCAGCCGGCTCACGCACATCCGCCGCGCGAATTCAAAGAGTCGTTCCGTCTCTCTCGTACCTCTGCGGGGCACCCCATGAGTGGGGGGGGGGGACACCACGACGTAACGACTCTTCGGAGTCGCTCGGCTGTGCACACAGTCGTCGCCCAAGGCCCTCGAGGTGTGAAAGCTGCGGCAGTGCCACCTTCATGATGTAGTGCGGGGGCGTCCAGCGACACGGCGGCGTTGTATGGTAGGGTGGGTCTCACCCGCCGGCGACGAGGCAGTCTGTGCGTGCCGTCAGTGCCGTCCTCAGCCCCAACCAACCCCCGCAAGCTAGGCGCATTGAGGTTTACGACGGCAATGTTCTGACTCGTTTTCTGTTTTCTGTTCTGCAGGAGAGCGGCCATTCGGCTGCAGTTGGGCTGGCTGCGGCAAGAGGTTCGCGCGCTCCGACGAGTTGGCGAGGCACACCAGAACGCACACCGGCGAGAAGAACTTTGCCTGCCCCGTCTGTGACAAGAAGTTCATGAGGAGCGACCACCTGAGGTGAGTGCCGATGCTGAGTCGTCTGAAGTCTGAAGGCACTCAAAACCCTGAGCCAGGTGTGGTCGGCTGGTTTCTAAGCGTCTGTGTGCTTTTCCTTTTTCAGCAAACACGCTCGGCGGCACCCCAACTTCGATCCCTCCGTGCTGAGACAGCGCCGCGCTCCCACCAAGGCGTCGTCGGTCAACTCGAGCGAGGGGACGCTCTCCCTGTCGGAGGGATCATCCGAGTCCGCGCCCTCGCCCTAGAGAGCGACCAAGGGCTCCCCCAAGGGCCCCAGCGGCCCCAAGGGCCTCGAGGGCAGAAACGTAGGGGCTGCGGGCGAACGATTCAAGGGTTGAAGGCGGCTGCTCGCCGGGCTGCAAGCTGGGCTGTTGATCGGAGTCCCAGGGCAAGCTCATCGCGACGTCTTGGGCCTGCTGCCTGCTACTGCCTTGCTGGGTGCTTGCAGTGCAGAGGGCCCGTAGGAGAGCTACGCCTTTGCAGAGCCCCCGCCAGAGCCTGGGAACTGCTATCACGGGGAAATAACGCCAGGTTATACTTGGGTGTTGTTTCTTTGATATGTGCATGTATATAGACTCCGAGGAGCGTGCTTGGTAGCGGTAACTATGTTCTGACAGTCCGAGTACGAGGTATATAAATACGCTGTCAGTCAAAGGTTACCAGTTAATTGTGTTTTTGCGTTGTCTGTGGGGGTAGTATCATATGTAGTGGTGTCAACCTACATAGTCTGCAAGCACTCCTCTCCTAATTTTGTTGCACGATATGCACAGTAATGATTGTTTACGAGAACTTGGAAGCGACTTACAAAGAATGTAAGCTCGTTTGTTGTGGTGCTTTTGTAGGTGTTAAAAAATTTACCACCTACAAAATGAGAGGGTTCAGGGAGGTGTACTTCAGTTGTATGAAATAGTGATGTATTTTAGTCACATGACTTACTTAGTGTTGATTTTAGTTTCCTGACAAATATTTTTGTAGTTTCTCAATTAAGGTGTGTCATATAATTTAAGATAATCTACTGGAAGGCGTTTAAAACTGTTAGAAATAATGTGAACCACATAAAGCAAACCTAGGGAACATTAAAATAAACTTATGACTGTTCTGCTGGCCAATTTTTTGGTGCATACCTTTTGATTGCCTTGGAATGTTTGACTATCGATGAAAATGTAAGAAAAGATTTATAGAAACAGGTTGTATTTTTTTTTATTATGGCAAATTTTTTGTCTTATTTTCTTTTTTGGTAAAGAGAATAAAAATTTTTCCTACTCAAGTAATAAAGAGAACTTTTCTCATGAATTTCACTCTATGTAAAATAACCATCTCTGGGATCATACAGCTCCTCATCTGAAAAGTTAGGAAGTGGTTTGCATCTTTTATATAATTCTTATCTTTGTAGTTCTTTACTTACTGACTCTTCACAGGACTGCTCTAGGATATGTAAAACCTCCCTGTTCTCAAAATAATGAACTTGAATCATGTAATGTGAATAGTGATCTTGCCAGTAGTTATAAACTTTTGTACAGTTCTCCTTTTGTTAGAATATGTATTGTGTATAAACTTACCTAGCAAAGAAACTTGTGTAGAATGGTGTAAATTGTAGTCAGTTTATAAACTCAATATGTAATACTTGGCTGTGCAGACTTTCTTTGTGATTGTAACTAGATGGGATACAGACACAGCAGATTGGATATCATGTTTCACTTGCTCTATCTTAAACACATAGTTATGCAGAAATTTACAATATCGTCCACTACGGCTGTGCTTACTTCTTTAAGCTAGATCTATGATAATGACCTGATGCAGGAACTACACAAGGTCTGTCACAGGTGAAAGTAGACTACATCCCTTTCAGAAAACAAATTGTTGCCAGTTAATTTTTTTCAGTGGTACCTAAAAGAAGCTGGCTACATGAGTTTCCTATATTTATTTAACTACGCACATGTCATTTACCTCTATGATAGCAGGTTCGACTTTTGTCTCTATTCTAACAACCTTTGAAAGTTGTGTGGATCTAAATGAATTTCATATTGATTGTCTCTTGGAGTCAGTCACTGAGTTCTTGGGTGAAGAGGAGAAAATTTACCCATTGTGAAACAAATCTCAATTAATGGATTTGATTTGTGTTGTTTGTCTGTAATATTTCATAAGCCTCTTAAATTTGTTTGGCTTTAACTACCACAAATTAAACTTAACCATGTAGATTCATTACAATGTCGATGTTTCTGTCCACTCAGGCATCTTGCTTTAACAGCTGGTCTTTATTTCATTATTTTCTTTTTAACATAGGCTTCAAAATTTGCTATTGTGAGATGTGGGTTTTCCTGCAAATGAAGTCAATAAATATTTGGTTCTGCTCGGAATCAATCCAGAAATAAATTTGAATATGGCTCCCTGTGTCATGTTCCAAGTAAATTTCAAGCACTGATGGTATAGGCATGCCAGGATCTTAAATTTGGGACTTCTTTGTTTACTTGGTTGCTTTATCCTCACTTTAAAAACGTTTTACTAACAGTTGGTTTGGTAACTTTCATATCTGTGATAGCTACTACTCTAAGGCATCAGTTACCAAAATATGTTGTTGTTTTTTTTAACCTTCCTTTTGCCTCCTTAATGTTAACAGGCAAATGTTTGAACCTTAGTTGTTTTAATCAGATGCAAAACGCTTTGAGAGTACTCTTTAAGTTTGGATTTATTTTACAATGTTGTTCAGGTTTTCCTTTCAATTGTAGTCTATTTTATAAGCCTGAGTAATAACATGTGCATGTACGTACTTCATTGTATTCTCAGTTTTTTGACATTCATTGCTGATGGATCTTTTTAATTAAATTAATGCTGTACTTAATAAATATGTGCATGTATTTTCACATAGATTGGAGTGTTGTCTACGCTCATTGTTGCCTTCTTTTGTATAAATCTACTCTATAAAGTATACTTTTGTACAAATTTTTACATCACTGCCTTCTTACTCTAATCTGTTAAGTCTTCAGAAGTAGTTTTGTAGATGTATAAATTTTTAACTAAGATAACATTTCACTGTTCTCTCTTAGTTTACTTCCAAATGTTTTGTTTTAATTGTAAATATACTAATGGTTTACATTTGGTGCATTTATCGCCAATGTAAATAGTAATGGAATTCTTCCTTACGCAAATCCCATTTTAAAAGGGACACTGAGATATTTTCGCTGCGAGTTAGAATTGTACTGGCAGCATAGTAGTTTAGATGGCCTAGATTGATTTGCTAGGGGAACAGTGAAATCTTCTAAACACATGCCTGTTTATTTATATTTTCAATATCTCTTGTATTGTATGTTTGTAATGAGTGAATTGTTTGACTTCCATGAAGAAATGTGGTGAAAACTTAAAGGCTGTGTTATTTTGATTTGATGTGCCTTTAAGTTCTGTAAGGAAACAGAATTAATGTAAGGATGCAGTGTAGTTCTTTTTTCTTTCCCATTTTTGTTTCTATTTCATTTTTTACTGGTTTTAATAGATGTTGGATGTAAATTCTTGTATCCCTCGTTCTTCATATCGACAAATGAATGAAAATGATGAAAAATGAACTTGGCGTTTTCTCTCAATGAAACCCTTGTACCATACCATCACTGAAGAAAAGAAAAGAAAGCCACGTTGGCACACTTATCGTGGTTTGTCTAAACACGCAAGATCCACTGAAAACCTTATTCACTGGACTTCCCTTCTAGTTGAGAACAATTTTACATTGTCGTTGCCCAAGCGAGCCAGATTGTGGGTCAAAGTGGCATCTGGGAGAGGACATCTGCTCGCCTTTTTCTAGTTAGCGCATTATACTTACAAGGTCCTGGATTGCTGGAAACAAACACTTTGTGGACGACGCATGAGGGGGCGAGCGGTGGTGACGGAAAAGGGGAGGGGGGAGGGGGAGGCGTAGTCGCACGTAGGTTGTTGTTGTTGTTTGTTATCGTCGTGTCGCTCCTGGTCGCGTCGTCTTGCGGTGCGGATGTGGATGTCGCCTGACATTTGCTACTAGGAAGAAACACCATCGATGGCCGAGTTTATCCGGGGAGGTAGCGGCGTTGTGCTACCCACACCTTTGCCGAGATACAAAATGCAGGGATCCCCGAGCACGGGGAGCGACGAAGGTCCAGATCCGCCGCAAGCCGAAGATTTCGATCCCTTCCTGGCAGAGGCTGAGGAACCCGAACCCCCGATCAACAATGAACCCTGTGCACCGCCAGAGAGCCAGTGAGTTTCTGGTTTGAATGAGGGAGTCGTTTAATCGTCATTTGCCGGAGCAATTCAGTGTGACTGCTCAAAAAATTAATCTAATGGGATTCTGCTAACCGATTTTGAGGTTGGGTCGACCGGTTAAAGCACATTGTAAATAAACACTACATTTAGTTTTGTTCGGTACACTTTCGCCTCATTTTAACATTACTTCCATTCGGCTTCATAGTTCTGACTTCAGTATCGTTCATCTACTGGTATTACTTGCAGTTCATTGTGTCATATGTAACCTGAACAAAGAACTTGGTCATACTGAATGTTTCCTTCAAAAATACCCAGTCGCTCACTAAGGCCTTTGCAGTTTAGTTAAACCAGTATTGGGAATGCTTGTGTCAACACTATTATGCTCAATCTGGTACTCGAATACTCTTTTGAAAGAAAACACAGTTCACTCATGCACTGCTGCTGTCATTCTCCTAAATGACAAAAGATTTCAAACTGTGTCTGTCCATACTACAGTGTGTTGCATTAATGTCCAATTTAGATGGTACCATGGACGACTTCACCGTTGCCGTGCTGAAGAGCGTCTTTGGGGCGCTAACAAGTCTGGAAGTTACTTAGTGCGTGAAAGTGACAGAAAGCCTGGTTCTTATGTGTTGTCATATCTTGGGAGAACTGGTATCAACCATTTTAGGTAAGGTTGCAAAGTTTTGTTTTGACTTTCAATTAAATGCTTTCCTAGTTTTACTTAGGGTTGGTATGTTTTCAGTGTGTGATATCTGGGTTATTTTATTTCAGAATAACAGCTGTTTGTGGTGATTTTTATGTTGGTGGACGACAGTTTGATTCCCTTTCTGATTTGATTGCTTATTACATACACTCTTCTGACTTGCTCAAAAGAGAAAGATTGGTCTACCCCGTTCCACCACCAGAACCTGTCAATGATAAAAAGCGGGTGGTTGCTATCTTGCCTTACACTAAAATGCCGGATACAGATGAGCTTACGTAAGTGATTCCTTATGAATTTTCATCACTTATCAACGTACGTTTAGATCTCAACTTGTATTTTATTTTGTGGCAGATTCCAGAAAGGTGATATCTTCTTTGTCCACAATGACATGGGAGACGGATGGTTGTGGGTGACTGCTCACAGAACTGGCGAGCAGGGAATGATATTTCAGGAGCTTGTTGAAGACCTTGATGACAATATTGATCCCAACACAGTATTTAGTTGGTTCCATCCTGGTGTTACAAAAAGTGAAGCTGTTGATATGTTAGTGAAAGGTAATTAAATCATTGCAAAACAACTCAAATTTGGCAAGCTGTGGTGATTGTGCTTTAAATTTAGTTTGAGGAAATGATGTTATGTTATTGTTGTAGCTGGTCCTGGCAGTTTCCTTGTAAGGCCAAGTGATAACTCACCTGGAGACTATTCTCTGTTCTTCCACATTAACAATCAAATCCAAAGATTTCGTATTGAGAAGAAAGGTGTTCGATATCTCATGGGAGGAAGAACATTTGAATGCCTCGATGCAGTGATAAATCGTTACCGCAAAGAGCAAATTGTGGAGGGGCATACCTTGGTTCAGGCAGTTTCAAGAGTATGTATTAACATTTTTCTTGATTGTTGACGTTCCTTTTTAAGATTGGACTGTCCAGTGTTTTAAACTTGCCCCAATTACTAGAATGTTTCAGAGATTGACGGACCTGTAAAATCCAAAGAAGTGCAACATGCAGAAAAAATTTATGCTACTCTTCGTGAGTGTAGAGAGCAGGTTGGCATGAAAAAGATTAAAGGTGAGGAATAAAGACAAGATGCCACAAACATTTTTTTTTCTGATCTTACTGTTTGACCCTTGTTTTTAATATCTTTGCCCTTTCTTCTCTAGGTATTAAAATGCAGGGCTATCTTAGCAAGAAAAATGACAAAAACAAAAAGTGGAAGCCCATGTATTGTGTTTTGCTTGTTGATGGATCTGACACTCAATTAATGTACTATGAGAATCCAAAGGTGCATTAAATCTTTAATCTTTAATTTAATTTTTTTTTTAGTTTCTTGTGGGAAAAGCTTATGTTACCTTTGTGATTTGTTTCAGAGAACTAAACCGAAAGGCCTAGTGGATTTAAGCTGTGCCTACTTATATCAGGTTCATGACAGCGTGTTTGATCGGCCAAACTGTTTCCAGCTTGTTGAAAAAGCCCTTCCTTGCCTTGCTACTATTTCTTATCTATCAGGCTCCACTGCAGATATCACTCAGGTAAAAATCTTAATGCTAGGTTTTAAAAAAGGCGCAGCTTTCTCAAGTAGTTTCCGAATTTTTTTCCTGAAACCTGTTGGAATCTTAGTTTACTTGATTTTAATCATTACATTCTGTAGTAATGTTGGTCTTCTGCCTGTTTGTGTAGGAATGGGTAACAGCATTACGTCCTCTATGTGTCACCCAAATGACACGCACTCCCAAAATACCCAGGTTGAGAGAGATGCGTTGCTTAGAGCTGCACCTTCTAAATGCTCATAGGTATGCTTCCCTTTTCTCCTCTCGGTACACCTGATCAAATAGCATATTTGATTTACTTATGTAATTTAATAGATTAGATCGTGTTTCATGAATTCTAACTGAACTTAACTTTTCCAGACTGCCATATAAACTAGTGCCAAATCCATTTTGTATAATATCTCTGAATCAAGTAAAAGTTGCAAGAACAAAAGTGAACACTGGCCCTGATCCTCTGTGGGATGAGGAATTTGTGTTGGATGATGTGCCACCTGATGTCATGACATTCACTATCACAGTGTATAACAAGGGTAAACGTTCAAAGGACACTGAGGTTGCAGAACTCACTGTAGAGTTATCGTCATTGGTAAACGGAGATGAGGTAGGCCTTTAATTCCATCTAATATTTGTGTAAAAGCTAAGACTAAGTATTTTGAAAGTTTATTAATTCTTTCCAATTTTTTCTCTGTTGAAGACTGAAGATTGGTACAGTCTCTCGGGCATGACTCCGATGGGAGAGTGGGGATCTCTTCGACTCAGAATTCGTTATATGCATGATCTAATAATGCCACAAGAGGAGTATTCGCCTATGAAGGAACTTCTTCTTGACCCTTCTTTGGAAGTTGTTCGAGCTCTTGCAGATGTTTGTCATATGGACCGTGTACCGCTTGCCAACTCTCTCTTAAGAATATTTAGGTTTGTTAATTGTTACTATTATCATCCATAAAAACATCTACTGTATGTCCTTTAAAGACTGTAATTATTTATTTTTGTTTTCTTAAAGGCATGAACGTAAGGAAGCAGACTTGTTAAAGACATTAAATGAGGCAGAAATAGAGAAAGAAGAAGAAACATCCACTCTGTTTCGGGCTGCATCTTTAACCACAACGTTAATGGATTTGTACATGAAGTCAATTTGTACTGGTTTTCTTCAAGCAGCAATTCAAGACACAATTCAGAAATTGCTGGATGCCAAACAATCTTGTGAGCTTAATCCAACTAAAATGGAATCTCCGGATGATGCATGCAACAATGCAGAGTACCTGCTACAGATTTTGGATGAAATCACTTTGTCAATATTTATGTCTGCAGAAGCTTGTCCCAGGTTGGTGACTTATGAAGTCATTATGTTGATTGTTTGAGTCTCTATAATTTTAATTAGAATGTAATGTGTTTTTCTCATTATTTTTTTCTTTTTCCCAGGACTGTACGATATATTTGCTGTTGTTTGCAACGTACTGTTATGGCAAAATGGCCACATGAAAGATTGGTCCGAACTCGTGTTGTGAGTGGATTTATCTTTCTGCGGCTTCTTTGCCCTGCAATCCTGAATCCTCGCCAATTCAACTTGATTTCAGGTCAGTTTTTTGAAGTCACCTCATCCTTAATTTACACCAGTTACTTAAAAAGTGTTAATTCAAATTTACAGAGCCACCTCCTCCAATGGCTGCTCGGTCTCTTATAATGGTTGCCAAGTGCCTCCAGAACTTAGCAAACCTAGTTGAATTCGGTGGCAAAGAACCATATATGGAAGTAGTGAATCCATTTATATTAAAAAACAAAGAGCGCATGGTTGTCTATCTTGACCAAATATCTGTAAGTATGGCTCATCCATCTCAAGTCTAGTTCAAACAAAAAAATCCCTTTAGAAGCAGAGAGTGGGCTGGTGTAAAATGGGGTACATAAATAACAATTTTGATTGTCTAGAACTTGGGTGACAAACCTGATTCCGAAGAAACTGGGAAGATAAAGGGAGATCCTGCCAGGGAACTTGCTACTCTCCATCACATTTGTGGCAATCATCTGAAAGAACTGCAGACATTGAGTAAATCAAAAGTAGGTATCATAGTTTTTCACAGTCCTGTATAGGTATATGTCATATGAGTCAAATTTCATTTGTATTGCGCTTTCCTTTTACAGCCAACCATCAGACAGTTGGTTACTGTCACCGAAATGTTAAGCAAACACAAGCAAAAATACATGGAAATGATTGGGTAGTTTGCTATGTGGCAATTTTTGACCAATTTTATTTTTTACATCAGGGTGCTAGTTTGTATTCTGTGAACAGTTTTTTTTAACCTGTGTTTTATTTTAGCTGATTTGTCTGTTTTTATTTTCTAATCCTATATTTAGCATAATTTTATTATTACTGTATTTAGTTCAAGTTGTACTGTTTTACCACAGCATGTCTAGAAAATTGTATTGTCATTCTCTTCATTTTTTTTCTTTCAAGTTTCTGTATATCTTTCAATGTAGCAGTTACATTTGGTTACGATTTTGTACTGTGTAATTTGATGGCTAATTAATGTAGGGACATATCCTATGAATTCATATGTTCAAGTTATATGCTATGTAATTATTGTACTGAGTTTCTTGATGTGCCGCATTTAGATTTTTCTTAAATCTTGGTATTTATGGGGGATCCTATGAATATGTCCCCTTGATACAAATGCAGAAATGATACAGTACAGATTTTTACAGATGTTATACACTTCAATCTTTACTGTTCACTCTAAATTAATTAAATAGTATTACTTACCTTGCCTAGTCTTAATCATAATGTCTGTGTGATAAATGAAGTTTCTAATATAATCAATCATTCTTCCTGTGCCTGAAACTGTAAATGGCGTGGAGAGACAAATAGCTTTAATTTTCATCTCTTTGCTTCTCATTGTATTATCATACTTAGTCAATTATCTGCTGTACTGATAGAAGTGGAGGTGTTACTTTTTTGAAGTTCTACATCAGTGAAAGCTATCTAAGGAGCTGTCTCTTTAAACTTATGCTCACTTAAGTATAGTCCCAAAGTGATCCGCAATTTTTTGGTGTTGTGCTGGTTGTGAACTCATGTACAGTACTGTCAGTAGCATTTGTAACAGGATTTTGTATCTTGTTTCTATGAGTGGAATTTCTTAACATACAGCTGCTATGTTTTGTGAATCAATATAATTAATTTTCAGAGCCTTAGAGCTGTTGGATGACATTTTAACTTGCATACTGGTGACATAAAAACATTTGCACAACTGTAGTTTGAAAAAAAATTGATAGAAAAAGGAGAAAAAAAAACCTGGGATGAATGGCCCCTTTCCTTGCACTGCGCCCCCCCCCCTTTTTTTTCTTAAGTACATTTTTGCCAAATGTGAAACCTTTTGTTAAAGATATGAGATACTGTACTTTAGGGAACAATGTGTATTTTAGTTCCATCCAGACAGAAAATCCTGGGCCTGTTTAATTTCTAGTCTGAGAGTGAAGTGCAGGTTTTGCATAAAATAAACTTTGCCTACAAGATAAAATTAAAAAAATTTAAAAAAAAAGGATATGTCCAGAGTGCGTCTATGAAAAATAACTTGTCTTTTCAATGTCTTTGGTCTTTGTAGGAACTCAAAAATTTTTATATACAATTAAGAATTTTTGTTTTAACACACAATGGTAAAATATGAACATGAACTGAAGCACCAGTTGTCTTTACTAACTACCACAATCCACTACATATTGTAAACTGAGCTTCCTGACAAACTGAAGAATTTGAGTTTCACTCCACGATGAAAAGGGAGACAGCAGAGAGATGCTTTCTCTGCCATACAAAGAAGTCAGGTCCGCTGCTAGTGCTGACTGGTTGCACTTGCAACCCACTACCAGCAACTGTAGATTCTTATTAGATGCATGCACTTGACGTAGGGCAGCCTCTATTTCACTTTGCTCATCTATGATACGTAACGAATATCTGTTTTGAAAAGACAAGGAAACAATGAGTATTTTGACTCATTAAGTATGTACCTTGAGAAGAAAATGTACAAACCTGGATACTAAATCCTGAAGAAAATTGGACTGCTTAACAAAATCTGGGTTTTGAATAAGAATTGTTGCGATCAAATCTGTTCTCTCCATTTTTTTCCACACTGCATGTACAAAGTGCAAAGTTACTACTCCAGTGAGACTTGCATCAATGCATAGAACTACCTCCTCCATTCTGAAATCAAAAGATGTAAAAGTACTGGATGTAAAGCTACTTTATACAAAATTCAACTGCATCATCTGCTTGATTTCTGTCCTGATGCACTACCTTGACCTGGAGAGAGCCAGAACAACATCTTGAAGGGCAGCATTTGCATGATCCATTCCATCCTCTAGACATACATTTTCAATTTTGGTCATAGAAAATTTAAGAGGTTCAGGATCGAATTCAACTAAACAATCTGTCATTCAAATTCAGAAAAAATTAGTCATTGGGTTTCATTAGTACCAACGATTATTCTTTTATAAACAGGCACTCACCAGTAGGAAGGAGTTCCCTCAACCTGTTAACAGCCTTAGACAGAAGTTCAGGGTTGTTGCTCTCAATAGTGAGTTTCACTTTGTAGTAACTGTAAAGTTAGATCATTTTTGTGTTAAGTGTAAGACAAAAATAGCTAATTTTAAAATCACAACATTAATTACAAGAAAAATAAATATTAAAAAACAAAGTACTAAAAGAACAGATACAGGAAACCAAGGAGCAAAGGCAATACTCAACCTGTTAGGAAGTTGGGGATAGGAACCAAATGAGACTGATGGGAACTCTTGAACTGCTTTAGAAAGAATTTCTGCAATTGATACTTCATCTTGGTTCACAAATAAATCGGATTTGTGAAATTTGGCTCCACCACCAAACAAATCCTAAAATTAAGCACATCATTTTCAAAGTCAGCAAGTTGAATTACATCTAAGATACTATTCCTTTCAATGTCATGCCAGGAGGTGAGGCATCAATTTTCATTTCTATGGTGCACCAATGGGTGTATCTGGTTTGTGCCAAGACCAGGCGCGGATACAGGGGGGGAGGGGGGGGCAATGGGGTTTTATGCCCCCCCCCCCAAAGGACCCTAGATAGCCGCCTGAAAGGTAGGAAAAAGTGCTACTTTGCCCCTGTAAGTAGGCAAAAAGTGCGACTTTGCCCCCCCCCCCCCATAGGCCGCCTCAGGATCCGCCACTGACCAAGACAACCAAACTTGTAGCAATGAGTTTAAATCAACAGTGATAGATAGAATGATGTTCAGTTGATGATTGAAACCCCTCATAATACTTGTAGCTGCAGAAAATTTTTAATTACCTCACACAGCAATGTGAATGATTTTTCTAGGAGAGGTGGAACACCAGGGAATATATAAACATTTTGCACAGAGATGTTTGGATACTTTGATCTGCATTGATGGACAGGATCAAATCCATACTTAAGTCTTGCAGATTTGGGTACCTGAAAGTGTAAGATAATCAGCAAACCTTCCACATTTTAATCTTTTAAACTTCTTCAAATAGATACTAAAATGTTAAGACATACATACATGTGCAAGTTTCATTGCGGGTGAACATAAATTTGTTGTATTATAAAATTCTGAACAAATTTTTACAAGTTCTGGATGGGGGAACACATTTTCTCTAAATGCCTTAGCAACACCTGTGGAAAAACACAAAAATTACAACAAGTTTTTCTCTTGTTTTTTCTTGAAATATCTGGGCTTTTCTCAACAGCAGAGAAAACTGATACCTTCAAAAGTTACATCATCATGTGTTGGTCCTATGCCACCAGATGTAATGACATATGTATAAAGATGAGAGAATTTGCGAACCTCATTGCATATTTCTTCAACGTCATCACCAATGACTGATACCTGGAAATAAACCAAATATAAATCAATACAGAATACTTAGATTGAATTCTGCCCAACATGGCATTCTTAACTTACCTTCAAGACCCGGACACCAATATCATAAAGTTTTGAGATGATAAAAGAGGAGTTTGTATCTCTAACTTGACCTTTTAATATTTCGTCACCTATAACTAAATTTATTGGAGTTGAAACTTAAGTAAATTTTCTGATTAATGTAAAGTTGTTGTTGGTCACAAAAGTATTCGCTCAACAATACCTATAATGCCTGCTGTGGGGACAGTAGTGGCTGTTGTGCTTAAGTTGAGAGAAGTCATCGTCTGCTTTTTCCAATTGGACACTCTAGTTTTGGATGCAACAAAGTGACAACCTTCTTTGAAGATGCAACGGATCATAATACAGTTTTTCCAGTTCAGCGAAAGTCAGCGGAACCCGTCCCCTCGCTGATTACGAATTACAATTACAATAACAAAACATACTGGCAAGAAGGAACGCATGAGGGTTATGTTTTCGTGTGACTGCGAATAAGCAGACCGGTGAAGGGTAGTCCCAGGTAGTCCGCTGTCTTTTGTTTGTTTGTGGTGGTGGTGTCTGTCAAAAAGGCAGAAAGGACTTACTTTAATCATTTTCTGTTTGTCTTGCTGTGTGATTTTGCGCTTGGAAGTATATTTTATTTTACACTTGGTGAGTTAACACAATATGAAAGGAATGACAACAAAGGTACTTGACATTAAACACCACTTCTTTTGCGACGGATTCCGTCCCTTCCCCTTAACCTCCCTGATATGGGCAGGTTGTGTATTCCCTGTCATGAAAGTTGATATGTCCACGTCCACTAGTTTTGTGTTTCTCTCAAGTTTGAAATTATTGTTATACCACACTTAACAGCCTAGCTCCAACTTTAATTTGTCTGTTCCAGACCACAAACTTCTTTGTGCCTTGCATTCGATTCATTTGGAGTGGCCCCTATCTTTTTAAGACTATGAATGGAATAGTTCAAGATGAGCCTGCTGTTGTAAGTAATAAGTCGACGTATGTTGCCCTGAATAATAATAATAATTTATTTTGTTCCTACAACGTCTGTTTATGTCTAGAATAAATGGTGGTGTGCTAACCGGACGAGAGTTTTGTATGCCCCCGTTCCAAAGCTTTCGGAGGACAGTCTTTCAGCACGGGAAGAGGAGGAGACATGGCTCAAACGCAATCTGCGGTTTCAGACAGAAATTACATGGCTCCTGTCTCTTGAGCACCACAGGTAACATTTAGATTGACTCAAATATTCAATACTGTCCTTCCCTGATCAAGCAAAGCACTTATGTACTACCACATGCTGAAATGGATCTTTTGCAGGTTTTGGTCCCAGATTTTGTTCAGTGCACATTCCATGGATGGTTTGATATCATTTCTTCAGGAAGCTCTTCCTTACTATGTGCTTCCTGAATTCCTGGTAGCTCCCCGTTTGGAGGAGGCCTACCATAGAACAGCGGAGCTAGTGTTTCAAGCATTTATGAGACTAGGTGTATTTGATTCTAAGGTAAGAGAAGAAAATAAATGTTATTTATTTTTATGAGAGGACCATGATGTACTATTTTAACTTTTGGTATGTCTATCTATTTTCAGTTTCTCAGTTATTTTCCTGTACAAAAGCAAGCTGAACTTGTTTATGAACATCATGTTTTCACTCTACCAATAATCCTAGACCTGTGCCACTTATTTGGGAGAGAAAATCGCCAAGCTATATCCAGCCTTGTGGAGATATTATTTAGGAATCAGCCTAGATATTTGACTGACATTCCACAAATTGTAACATTCTTAGAAGAGGTGTCTATCCTGATGTTATACTGTATTTATTTGGAAGGATCCATTTGTATCACACTGTTTAACCTTTCACTTTTTCTTTAATTTTAGGCATTTAAGATACTTACTCATAGCTTTTGTGGGGCTGCCTCTATTCTTAGTGTCTATGGAGAACCTGCTCCTTTGGCCTTTGGTAATGACCAAACTCGTCTAGAAGACATGTCATCTGAGCAGTGTAGAGATAAGTTGCTTTATCTTCTAGATACTGTTGCCACTGGGGCTGCATTTCTAGACTTATGCAGCCCTGCAAGTCATGATTTTCGTAGGCGGCATTTTCATAGCAGGTAGGGTAGGTCGGCGAGGCCGAACGTTTTGTAAACATATTTTTATACAGAATTCAAACCAAAAATACTAATAAAAATTTTTTTTCCTAGGCTGGCTATGTTTTACAATGAAGCTATACCTCGTGTGGAAAAGAAAATAGAATCCATTGGCTGTAGTGAGGACCAAATTTCCCAATATGTAGATCTTAAACATAAACTAAGCCTTGCTAAGATGGAAATTTTACGACTTTTTAAATCAATAAGTCTAAGTTATGTTCAGAGTCTACTTGAAAACAGGTTGGTGAAAAAAATAAAGAAACAAGGGAGGATGTGTGTGCAGTTAGAGAAATGAATACTGAGTCACTAACATTTTTGTTTCTTACAATTTAAGAGATGACATGAGTGAAGAAGAGCTAAAGAAAAGTGTGGATGACTACATGACAATGCTGACAGACTGTCTTTCTGAGCAGACTTTTGTGAGAGATTACAATGCTGTGTATGGAATAGACAATGATCTGGATACTATAGCTCAGATCTCTCCTGATCTGTATCCTTTTCGCATATTGGTCAACATTAACAACATTAAATTTAAACATAGTTTAAAAGTTTTTGAGAGTGTCTTTAATTGTTTTTGCTGTTTTAATCATGGTTTTCCTTAGCAAACTTTCAGTGATACAATAAAATACAATTATCTTATGGAATCAGTATTATCTTCCTATTCTCTTCCCAAGAAGAAGGATCTGAATGCTACTTGTTTTAAGCCCAAATCCTCTTCTCAAGCTAAAACAGTAAGATGTCCATCTGTTTTTTTGTTGTGGTTTTGTCGTACCATACACTTTGTTATTTGAGATAGTAAAAAACTAATAACAAAATTGTTCTTTCAGAACCAGTTACTAGTTGAAGATGGGCCATCAACAAGCTCATCAAGCTCTGCTACAGGGAACTGTCCATCGGGAGTTGAGCTGGATTCATTAATATCAGAAGTTAAAGACATCTTACCTGATCTTGGGGATGGTTTTGTGCAGGTGTGTTTCATTATATTTTATTTTCACTTGTCCACATTCATCTTTACTGAATTTAAAAGATATAACTTGTTTTCGTGTTTGTAGCGTTGTCTACAGCATTTTAATTATCAAAGCCATGCTGTGATAAATGCAGTACTTGAAGATTCTTTGCCTCAAGAATTAAGCAATCTTGATAGAAGTGCTTCTCACATCACAGGTCTCTTGAATGAAAAGGTATGGTTCTTATATGCATATTATTTCTATCTTGCACATGATAGCTATTTGTTAAAATGGGAACATGTGATGACTACCTGAGTGTTCTATCTTGACTCTGCATTGTAGGATCCATCAACTGTGAAGAGGTACAATGTTTTTGATAATGATGAATTTGATATTATGACCAGAGATCATATTGATACCTCAAGAGTCCATAAGGGCAAAAGGTTCGTGTTGTTTGATATCAATACCACTTTCTTCTTACTACTTCTGATAATCTAATTTTGTAGTTACTATCATGTAATATTTAAATTGTGTACTATTTCTAGGAAAAATTTACCGAAGAATGCATTTGATCTATTAAATGACAAAACTGAGGTAAAGGCTCTGAGGGACCTTTATCATCGCTTTGGAACTGTTGACACAACAGGAAGTATGTATGATGATGAATATGATGACACATATGATGATGATCTGGCAATTGAAGAAGCTGGAGAAATTGAACAGAGGTATGGCTTACTATCTTGTTCAACATAACATGATATTCATTCCACTGGTCTACATTTGATGTTATAATAACATAATTTTCAGACGAAATTTTGTTGTGCCACGCGTTCTTCGATCAAATGAAGAGGTTGAAAGTGAGGAAGTAAGTGGAAATGAGGAGAATGACACAGAAAAGATTCCTCCACCCAAAAATGCATTCTGTGAGGATCCTGCAGCAGTTCGAGCGAGGAGGGAAAGGCAGTGGGCTGACAGGATGCAGCAAAGAGGTGGTGGAAGGAGCAAGGGGAAAAGCGGTGGTAGTTCTTCTAGTGGTGAAAAGAAATTTGATGTTGTTGGTAAGAATTTGCTCTTGCACACATGAAATGCAAAAAGTTTCACTTCTAACCAAAGAATTAATATAAATTTGTATTTCTCTAGGTAAACCTAAAGGGCAAGGCCAAGATAAGCAAGTTACACAAAATCGAGACCACAAAAATACAAATAAATCTGCAAGGGCCAATCATAATCGAAGATCTGGAGCATCTCATAAAAGAAACCAAGGAATGATACCATCATAATTTGATTGATAGCTAATTTTGTGTTCCTTTCATTCATCTCAAAGAAACTTGGAGTTTGATGTGACATTGCTGGAAATCTCAATTGAGGCTGTGCATGATTGAAAGAGCCTCTATTCCTCCATAGATTTTTAACTAATCCTAACTGATGTGACTGTTTGGATAATTGGTTTGATTGATACATTTGAGACACATTAAGAGAAATACCAATACTTGATGGTAGTAGCAACATAAGTACCCTGTTACCCTCTGCTGGCTCAGATATTGTTGCAAGTTGCAAAAAGTTTCAGGTTTATAAAATTATTGCTTTTGGGAGATTAAAGTTATTTCTTTTAGATGGTGCTTGTTTTAATTTTTATTTATATGAACATGTTAATCAAAAAATAAAGAAACAAAGAAGTTTGTACAGAAGAAATTTAAGAACTTTGCACTTTTTGCAGGTAACTTAGTTATTTTTTGGAGTGTACTCAACACATCTTGATGGATCAGTTGTGAAGAATTCTTGACATTTGGTCATCAACCTCTTCAATGCTTGAATGTATTTCCTCTGTGTTTCATCATTCAACACATGGGCAACATTTTTAGAAAAGATTTTTTCTCGTCCTGTACGAGCGTGGATACCAACCATGGTTACACCAATGGGCCATGGTGCATTGCCAATTGCCATTTGAAGATATGCATCACTAGCCTAAAAGAAAGTAAAGAAAGAAAAAGAAAGTTTTGTTTTTTGTTTTTTAAAGAGCTGACTACACCAAATATCATACATGTCTGATGCCAAGTAAACAAATACACTTACCTTCAAGTAATTTCGATCCAGTAAATGTTTGGTAATTTCCGTGAGGCTGTCTGAAATATCTTCAGGTAAGGTGCGGCTCTTCAATTTGCGTAGCAAGGGTTTTAAGTATGTTTGTGTTTGTGAGTAAGTGGCACTTGCTAGCTTTACTTTGGTAGTACGCTTTTCAGCGGCTGGTATGTTGTTCAGCTGCTCACCCCATAATCGTAACAGAAGCTGAAATTAAAAACAGATGGGTAAAGATTGTTGTTTCAGTTCAGTGCAGCGACTGACATCAAGGTCTTCTTAATGTTGCATACATACCTGTAGTAGCTGAAATGTCACTTTCATGTCAAGATCCCGATCTCCTTTTCCAATTAGATCAACATTTTGATGAATGTCCTCCCAGGTTACTTCCACAGTAGGGACTTTCACTTCACCTTCCCTTGGAAGGCCTTCATGAACTAACTCTTTCAAATAGCCCTGGTCAACTCGTTCCATAGCCTCTTGAAAGTCGTTTCTGAATCCCTGTCAATCAATAACATGTGACATGAATACTACTTCAACAGACTCAGCTACTCTGACAGTGTCGTCACCCCAACTCACTTTGTTAACTTCCGGCTCTAAGATTTCAACTCTTCTGAGACGTTGGAATGCTTCTGCTTCACTTTCACCAAATAAGAAAATAGGTTCTCCTCTTTCTCGCAGGCGCCGAATAACTTCTCTTCTAGGAAGTTCAGTTTGGTCTGGGCCAGACTTCCCATCAGAGGTGCCTTCTGTCAAGAAAATAAGAGAAATGTGACTAGCTTGAGGCATAAATAAGGATGATAGTTGTGGGAGTACAAACCAAGAACACCTTACCTCCTGATGACTTTGATTCTGATTGCTCCGAGACCCCAATACAGCCATATTTCTTTTGATACTCTTCCTCCTCCTTCTTTAGTAAATCCCCTCGTCGAAAGTATTTCTCCGAAGGTGTCTGAAATGAACCATGACACCTAATAAAGCTTAGAAATAGAAACACGGAAACCAAAACAAAGCTTTAAAGGCAATAGGGTTATTTACGTACAATGACGTTAGTATCTAATAGCTGCTTTCTCTTTCGTGCGATTTCAGCCTTTATGGCCTCCATCTTATCGAAATGTGAGGGCCAATCTCAACGTAGTTTCAAGTAATTGACATATTTCAAACACCTCAAAATTATGTCATATTTCAACTTTTCAGAGAGCTTTTTTCCAGAAGACGAGACAACAAGATAGGCAACGGCAACAAGACCATCGCATACGTTATTTACCCTCCAATTTCACCTATTCGCACGAAACCACTTTATCCAACTGCAAAGTTCTTCACTCGGTGGCTAGATCCTCAGCTGTTACGAAAACTGGAAGATAGCTGACATGCGAACGACGATTTCGTTATTTTAGTCTTACATAAGTTGTCTGTTACCGCGGCACCAAATTTTCTTACTTTTGTGAGAACTTTTGCTTTTCTTTTTAATGTTTCTTAACTTGTTTCAAATCGTTTTCCGGTTCCGTTCTGCACTAAAATATTCTTTCCACCTTCTTTTCTTTCTTTCAAGCCTTGGCCTTCGGGAGCCCCACGTGCACAATTGCGCGTGGTGTTGTGCTTAGTAAATAAGCACGTTCAATCTGTGTATTATTACTTGTTTATTTTAATTTGTGAAGATGGCGAAATTATGTTTAAGTAAGTTCCTCAATAATTTGGCGTTTGACTCTGATCGTGTGTGCGTTTGCTGGATTAGTGTGCGCAATGCCCCCCTCTGCCCTGCCTTGACTTTTAGTTTTAATTAACTAGTACTAGTACGTCACTATTCGATGTCAAAATGAAGGCCTTGTTTCGTATTCAGTTTATCTCTGCCATGCGATTGAATTGTTACGGACGCAGGATATTCCGTTAGGAAATTGAGAAATCTGGTTAGGTTGTACCAATCCGGCAACATGCGGCGTCGTACCTCGCGTAGCATTGACACTATATTCTCGTTCTTTATTTTATTACAGAAAAGCCAAGCAAGCGGGTTTCTGCCAAGCGTCGTTACAAGATAGAGAAACGTGTAAGGCAACATAACAAGAAGAAAAGACGTGCTGAGAAGAAAAGTGGCAAGGGTTAGCTTTGTTTGGCTGCTTTCTGAAGCTTTCTACCATTGCTGAACAAATTGATTCACATTATATTTTGTTTTGATAGGTAACAAGACCAACAAGATAATTGAAGTTCCAAACATCTGCCCTTTTAAAGAAGAGGTTTTGAAAGAAGTGGACGAATACAAACAAAAGGAAAAAGAGGTTCTCAAGAAGGCTTTCGAAAATCATCTTGCAAGGAAAGCGGAGGCAGAAGAGAAGGATGTTGACATGGGTGAAGAATCTGAAAGCCTAAATGATCTTGTACAGAGTGCTCAATCTAGACTTGCACAGCATGAAATTTGGGGAGAAGGACAGCCTTCCCGTATTGGTTCTGAATTTGTGCAGAAAACTGAGAACTCGTTGAAAGCGTATTACAAAGAGTTCCGCAAAGTTGTGGATGCTGCAGACGTTGTCCTTGAGGTTGTAGATGCCAGAGATCCGTTAGGAACTCGATGTCTTCAAGTTGAAGAAGCTGTCAGAGAGGCTCGTGGCAACAAGAAATTGGTGGTTGTTCTAAACAAAGCTGGTAAATGTATTGTATGCATGTGTGTACATTTGAAAGTAAGGGTAGTTGGCTTAATTGTTAATATTTTTCCTAGATTTGGTACCTAAAGAAATTTTGGTAAAATGGCTTCAGTACCTTCGTCGCTCTGTGCCTGCAATTGCCTTCAAAGCCTCCACTCAAAAACAGAAACAGAAGTTGGGTAGACGCAAGGTGAAGAAGAACTGGAGCCAGCAAGAAACTCAAGTTTCTGCGTGTGTTGGTGCTGAGGTCTTAATGTCTTTGCTCAACAATTATTGTCGAAACAAGGACATTAAAACTTCTATTCATGTTGGGATAGTTGGTAAGTCATGTTACTGAAAAGTTAGAAATTCTTGCCCATTAAACTTTAGTCTACTAATACTTTCATGAAAATTTCAGGTTTACCCAATGTTGGTAAAAGCAGTATCATCAACAGTCTCAAGAGAAGTCGTGCCTGTAATGTTGGAGCTATGCCAGGTGTGACCAAGTGGGTATATCTCAAGTCAATGAGCCTTCTATCGTAAAAGAAACCTGTTTTGTCTAATTGACATACATATTTAGATCTGCTCAGGTGGTTGAGTTGGATAAGAAGATAAAGTTACTGGACAGTCCTGGTATTGTGTTTGCTCATACAAGTAGCAATGATGCTTCATCTGTTTTGAAGAATGCAGTACACGTTCAGTCTATTGCTGATCCACTTACACCTGCAACTGCTATTCTACAACGGGCGAACAAACAACAGGTATAGCGTTACGTATTTACAAGAAAACTGTGAATTTTAAAATAACCTTCAGTGGTTTAAAATTTTTGTGAGATTGTCATCTTTCTCCTGCACCCCTGCTCATCAATAGTTTCTTACTGACCATATTACTGGTTTGATTATGCCCCAAGTTTACCAGTAAAGCACACATTTTTGTGCTCCTCTCTTTACACTAATGGGTTTCTTATATGCTAAATGACTTATATTTCAGTAGCCATGATTTCCATTGTAAAGAAAATGATGTTTCTCATTGGTTCCTTCCGTAGTTGGAAGTAAGCCAATAAAGATTTCAACAATCTTATCTATCTACAAAAGGGAGAATCAGCTTGGTTTATTGTGTTGCTAGTGAAAATCTTTCTTATGACAATTAACTTTTACTGTACTTCAATGGATCACAATATTGCTGCAGGAATGTGATTGCCTTGTAGCTATTTGGTCCATTGAAAAGCAAATGATGTTTCCCATGGGCTCCTACTATAATTGGAAGTGGGCCAAGAAAAATGTCCACAATTTCAATTACCAAAGAGAGAACCAGCTTGGTTTGTAATGCTTTTAGAGAAAATATGTCTTGTAGGAATTTACTTCTTCAATGGATCAGGATATTACTGCAGGGATGTGATTGCCTTGTAGCCATTTGGTCCATTGAAAAGAAAATGATGTTTCCCATGGGCTCCTACCATAGTTGGAAGTGGGCCAAGATAGATTTCAACAATTTTAATTTACTAAAGAGAGAACCAGCTTGGTTTATAATGCGTCTGGATAAATTATGTCTTTTACTAATTTACCTTACTCCAATGGATCAGGATATTGCGGCAGGATATCATTGCCTTGTTGCTATTTGGTCCATTGAAAAGAAAATGATGTTTCCCATGGGCTCCTACCATAGGTGGAAGTGGGCCAAGATAGATTTCAACAATTTTAATGCGGTAAAGAGAGAACCAGCTTGGTTCATAATGCTTCTGGATGAAATATGTCTTTCACTAACATACGTACTTCTACTCCAATGGATCAGGATATTGCTGCAAGGAAGTCATTGCCTAGTAGCTATTTGGTTCATTGAAAAGAAAATGATGTTTCCCATGAGTTCCTTCTGTAATAAGAAGTGAGCTAAGATAGATTTCAACATTTTTTACCTAACAGAAGAACAACTTGGTGGTTGTAGCAGTTGCAGCCAAGAATGTGTCGATAAGAGAATATGTTTGTACCTTGTTTTAGATGATGATCTTGTATAATCTTCCCGAGTATGACACACCAGAAGAATTCTTCATCTCATTAGCAGAAGCAACAGGAAAATTTAAGAAACAGGGCTTACCTGATATTGAAAAGGCTGCTAAACAGCTGATTGATGATTGGAACAAGTGAGTGATCTTTGATCTCTATCTTCTGCAGAATCAAAACAAGTTCTATATTGTCATTTTCTTTGTTTTGTAAAATTTAGGGGTAAAATTAGGTATCATACAGTTCCTCCAGAAGCTGAAAGCACTCATGTTAGTGCTTGTATTGTGACAGAAGATGCAGCTGAATTTGATTTAGACTCCTTCAAGCAAATGGAAGCTGAAAATTTGCAAGAATTTCAGGATAGCGCACCTAAAAGGAGATGTGTTCAAGGTATGTTCATTTTGTTCTGTGCTATCATTGATTGTGAACAATAATTAAAATAAGCTTCTGTGTTCAGTTGAGCCTCTGGTCATAGACCCTACAGAACCTGTTGTGGCCCTCATGGATGATGCTGACACCCAGGAACAGATGGAGGAAGTTAGAGGTGGTGATGTGTTGGTAAGTTTTGAAATATGCTTTTATAACTTGCAAGTAAGGACTTAGCGATTGCTGTCAAGAGAATCTTGTATTTCTACTGCATATCAAAACTTGTATACTGAGACTAAAGTCCCTAGTTAACGGCCCCTGCCATGATTGGGTCTCATGAGTCTCAAAGAGGAAATGCTCGACTTATGCACTGATGTGTGTGTCTATCGACACCTCAGTCGCCAAGTGGAGTTACACTGAATCATGTTTTTCCAAATAACATTTTCATTGCACTGTGAGACTAAAGTCCCTGGTTAATGGCCCCTGCCATGATTGGGTCTCATGAGTCTCAAAGAGAAAATGCTCGACTTATGCACTGATGTGTGTGTCTATCGACACCTCAGTCGCCAAGTGGAGTTACACTGAATCATGTTTTTCCAAATAACATTTTCATTGCTCTGTGAGACAAAAGTCCCTGGTTAGTGGTCCCTGCCATGATTGGGTCTCAAGAGTCTCAAAGAGGAAAGACTCGACTTATGCACTGATGTGTGCGTCTATCGACACCTTGGTCGCCAAGTGGAGTTACACTGAATCATGTTTTTCCAAATAACATTTTCATTGCACTGTGAGACTAAAGTCCCTGGTTAGTGGTCCCTGCCGTGATTGGGTCTCAAGAGTCTCAAAGAGGAATGACTCGACTTATGCACTGATGTGTGCGTCTATCGACACCTTGGTCGCCAAGTGGAGTTACACTGAATCATGTTTTTTCCTAATTCCCCATAACTAAGACTGAAGCTGCTTATTTTATTATTAATAAGATATTTTGTTCTAGGTTGATGAAAATGTGAAAGTTGTTGCTGAGAAAAGGAGGAAAATTGATAGAGGTGAAAGTAGGAAGTCGAGTGCAAAAGATCAGAAAAAAGAAGAAACTCTTATGCAGTTGGAAGGAAATCAAAAGTTAAATTTGCACAACAAACTTGAGGCAAAAAAACTGAAGAAAAAGCAGGCAAGAAACTGTGAGTTCTTCAGTTTTTCATTCAGGTATTTAAATCCATTTTTATTATGGTTTTCTTATGTTGTCTTTCTTTCTTAGCTCGTCATGCTGCTGCATTAGCTGGAGTGTTGGAGAACTTCTCCCTCAATGGTGGAGATGATTCTTATGACTTTGAAACAGATTTCACCAAGTGAACCCCCAAGCTACTATACATTTAGCTTTTGATTAACTGTGATCATAATTATAGGTAATAAATCTGTCTTGAATGATTTATTTTATTCATTAAACCTTGGCTTCAGTTGCTTGATAAATAATAAACTTAGATTTTAACACAATTTTTATTTCCTTTTCTTGGTGCAAAGAACACTCAAAGCAATGTAACAAAACACAGATTCTAAAGTCTTATCTTAGGTGCAAACTCAACCAACACCAGTCTACCAGTCCACCTAAACTTTTAAGAATTGGAATGCTGTCAATAGTCTAAGTAGCTGAGAGACAAAGTATGTGGAGGGAAAAAGGGATTCTTTGGGTCACTTTTCCCCTTAGAACATACATACTTAAGAACTTGTGCCTTCTGATCATACGTTGATTGAGAAGAGAAGTATAGTGCTTGTAGAATGACAGGTACACAACATTCAACTTTTAGTCACTGGGCATGCACTAAGAGTAATAATCTGGAGAAGATGCCCAGACAGTGGTCAGCAATAAAATAAAAAGTGGAAACTAAAACAGCTGTTAAAAACAGAATAATTTCAAATAAAGAAATAATAGTAAATCTAGATCTCCAATATATAATACTTCATAATAAGTACGTTATAGAGAGGAGGTTTGTGTGCTACTCAACTAGAACCTCTTGACTAATTGTGAAGGCACATTTGGAAGCACTTACATATTCATTTCTATTGTCATTTTGTGCATAACAGTAAAGAAACAAGAACTATCAGTGAAAACTTAAGTACAGTCAAGGTTAGATGTAAACTGCCAAAAAAATGCAGGAGTTACATCAAGATAAAAGAAAACGTCTTTGGTCCTCAAAACAAGAACAGAGGCACTTAGAACGCTGAGCAGTTATGCTGACGCTACTACTACAACCCTGCAGTCCGCTCCACTCATTTCAAATTCTTAAATAATAAGAATGAAGTAAGTGAAGACCTGGCTAAAATTAAAAAAGATAAATATGAGCACTCTAGAAATTAACCACAGGGACAATATTTGGTGTCTGTTACTAGCCACAAGGATAGGATACAGAAAAATCAACTACAAATAAACAGTATTAACATCACATATGTCTTAAGTACTTATCTTGCTGTTGTTTTTATACCCTCAAACATCACATTCAATTTCTTTAATTTTCAAAAATTAAACTGAAACAAGAAACACTTGACTTGGAAGCCACAAAGTAAATATGTCTCAAAATGGACAAATTGTTTTAATAAATATGAATACAAAAAATACAAAACATATCATCAAAAATGTTAGGTTACAACGAAGTATGTATTTTAATAAGTTAAGAAAATGACGGCAACAAACTTGTTTCTATGATCTATTTATTAAGAGCTTGGACGGACTCAGCTCATCATAAAGAAAGACGAGATTCTTGTTTCAATTATGTCACAGCCATCAAGCTCCAGATCTTAACAGCAGTTATTTTAAATGTTATGATAAGTTAGAAAACAAAAGGGAATCAATGGAAGCTTCAAATCCTGTCAATGCACTGGGACAAGGACAAGCGCACTGGTTGAAGCAACATTTCAGAATGAATGCTAAGATAAGGAGAGAGCACATTGCATAGTAACACTAGATCAAAAAGAGAGCATATTGTAGCACATTGTTGATTTAAGAGGCGTGTTAGATAAAATAGGATTTTGCTCATTGCAAACATTAACGAGAAGGACTATCAGGTGACAAATCCAGAGAAGGATCCATAGCTACACCAGCTGCTTCAAGCATTCCATAGAACACTGACTCTCTGTTTGACATAAGAGTTGAGGGTTTGTCAAATTCAACCACCTGAAATGAAAAACATCATTATTTTAAGTTTCTTAGGGTAACTTCAAATAAATATTTTTTATTGTAATGTAACCACATACTTTCCCAGCATCCATAACCATAACTCGGTCATAAGATGATACTGTATGTAGTCGATGAGCGATTGTGATAACAGTGCATCCCTTAAAGGTCTCTCTAATGGTCCTCTGAATCAAGAAATCTGTCTCAACATCCACAGATGCAGTAGCTTCATCAAGGAGCAAAATCTAGTTGTAATTAAAGAAAATGACAATTATGAGCCTCGAGCACAACTTTCAGGATATTGTTATTATTTAGAGGTAAAACACACTACAACCTTATTTTGACGTAAAACTGCTCTTGCCAGGCAGATTAGCTGCTTTTCTCCCACAGAAAGGTTTTGTCCAGCAGCACTTACAGGCGTCAATAGTTGCTTTTCTTCCCGGCTTAATTTCTCCTTTAGATGAGACTTCTCTAAGGCATCCCAGATTTTTTCATCATTGTGCTCTCCAAATGGGTCAAGATTAAATCTGCTCCCAGAAAAGAAAAGAAAAGAAAAAGGCACATCTTTATTCTGGCATTTAATAATGGAAATGACTATTTACACTTAGTCCAAAGGATGTAATTTTTTTTTTTTTTTTAAATCAGAACCTACCTTAATGTTCCTTCAAAAAGAACTGGATCTTGGGGAATAATAGCAATTGCTGAGCGCAATTCTTGCAACCCTAGGGAGGATATGTCCACATTGTCAATGAGAATGTGACCTCCAGCGAGCTCTGTGAGCCTCAGAAAAGTTGTTATTAAAGACGATTTTCCTGCACCAGTGCGGCCAACAACACCAACTTTCTCTCCTCCACAAATGTGAAGGGATACATTTTGAAGAACCAAGGGCAACCCATCCCGGTACCGTAATTGTACATTTTCCATTTTGATCTCACCCTTGTCTGGCCAGTTGACAGGCTTTGGGGAGTTTTGAATATGCTTAGGACCTTCTTCTGGCAGGTCAGAAGAATACTCCAAGACTCTTTCAACAGATGTGAACCTTGATTGAAACTCTGACTTAAGCTGCATCACATATGGAATAAAAGTACACACTGCAAAAACACAAGATAAGGCTAGACCACTCTGGGCAGAGGTCACTGTTCCCCGTAAACAAACAACCACCAGTCCTGTTAAGGTGACCATAACAACAGCAATCATATCCATTCTGAATGTGAACCAACGGACTGAAGAACGATATATAAGATCTGAAGCAAGGGACCTATTGAGACGAGCACAAAAGCGCTCTAAGAACACCCTTTGACGACCAAATGTACGGATAACAGACAACCCAGCCATTGTGGATGTGATGTGATTCAGAACTGGTGACTTGCGCAGATTGTCTAAACGTTTAGTTTCTTTCAGTCCTTTGTTCAGCCAAATATCAAGGAATGCAAACAAGGCAGCGGCAATAGCCAGAGCAAAGCTGAATATGGGAAATATGAAACAAATAAGCAGCATTTGTGTGGCACAAAACAGCAGACCTTGCCAAACAAACTCAAAAAAGAAAGGAATTCGAACATCCAATTCATCCATATCTTTGGAAAATCTCTGTAAAATCCTGCCAGTAGGAGTCACATCAAAGAACGAGATAGGGCAGCGTATGGTCTTACGAAACATGGTATCGTGCAAACGAGATGATCCAAGGAGAAGTTGTCTAGCAATACCCCAACCCTTACATATACCAATGAAAATAGTAATTATAAAAGTTAGTCCATAGACTAGTTGGTAAAAAGCCCTCTCTGGATTGTCATTAACCAGCCCCTTGAGTTTGTCATTGTTGTATGTTACATTGAACAAGGTCATATTATTCCTCCTTTCTGCCTGAAAATAAAGGAGAAAATAAAACGTCAAAACAATACAAATCAACCTTTCAGGACTTTTCTTTTGGTTCCTTATGTAAGATATAATTAGATAAATAAAGAATTAGTATATTTACCTCGAGTCCATCCCCTTTGTCAAGCCATGTTTGAAGCCAAATACCAGAGAATAAACGTGCCAAAGTAAAGAGCAATACAAGTAGCAAAAGAGACAGCATAATAAAGTAACCACCGCAGAAAACAAAGTATTGAAGGTATCCTTGGAGTCCCAGAGATTTGTGTTCTTCTGCTGATGTCAGATTCCCACCAAGTTCATCTACAACACCAAGAAAGAATTTTTATGGTAAACATACTTTTAAATTAACAATCTAAACACAAGTAAAAACACCTTCCACAACCACTGACCAGGAAGAACATCATCAGTTGTTTTCAAATCTGTATCGTCAGCACTGTTTTGTTTTTTAACAGCACGAGCATGATCAAAAGTCAACATCTGGCTGTAGTCTCCTGAGGCTTTTGATAATTCAGAATGACTTCCCCTTTCTGTGATAGAGCCTTCTTTCAAGTAAATAACTTCATCACACTCAGCCAGGAACTGACACCAATACAGAATGACAATGGTACATATTATGAAGTCAGTAAGAGAGATATAAAATAGATTGTACAACAATTCTAACATACCTGCAAGCCATGAGTTACAAGCAAAATTGTCTTGCCACTAAGCTTTCCCTTAATGCACTTCGAAAATATATGCCTTGCAACCCGAGCATCAACAGCACTGAGTGGATCATCCAGCAAGTACACATCTTTATTAGCATATACAGCACGAGCCAAATTAACTCTTTGTTTTTGACCTCCACTGAAAAAGAAAAAAAAAGTTCATTGCCAAAAAAATGCATGATCTACATTTATGTACAGCTGCCACTAATTTCAATTTAAGCGCACCTGAGATTCGATCCCCTCTCTCCTATTTCTGTCATATCACCATTTGATAACAAGTCTAGATCTCTTTGTAATGAGCAGACATTGATAACATCTTTGTACCGCTCCTCATCATACGGGAGTCCAAAAAGAATATTTTCACGAAGAGTTTCGTTAAAAATCCAAGCTTGCTGAGAAACTAAAGCTACACTGCCATGAACAGAAAGGTCACCTTGCAGACGTATCATCTAAAAAGAAGAAAAAGAAGCCCCAGTAGGTAAAGAATGAAATGGATAAAAATCAACATTGAAAGTTGTATTGTGGCACAGTACCACATGCTTACATCTCCTGTTATTGCTGCCAGCAAAGAGCTTTTTCCAGCACCAACTGATCCACAAATACCAAGTAGCCTCCCTTGTTCAACCGTCAATGTAATATCTCTGAGAGGCTCAAAAATAATTTCAGGTCTGTCAGAGGGATGTAGAAGCCCATCAGCTTCCAGCTGACCATTCTTATATTTCAATCCATTGGCAGAATCTTTTAGAGCAGTCTTTGTAGATTTAGTTTGTTTTACCTCAGCTGTGGAGCAAACAAAGTTTAAGAAATACAAATATAACAACAATTTCAATTTTATATCATAAATGAAGTGCAAGTTATGTGTATACTGAGCTGTGTTATGTGTATGTGTATCTGACCTTTTGATTTAGATCCAGGTTCATCATCATCCCAAATGAAAGTTGCATTTCTGATCTCAATAACTTGACCATTGCTTGATACTCCTCCAGTATTCTTTGTTGACTCAAAGTTGGGGCGCTGAAGAAACTTCTACAGAGGACAATAAATTAGAAATATGAACTTAACATGACACATGAAAGGAGAATACAGATGCTCTACATACTTGAATTTTATTGCATGACACCTTTGCTTCAGCCAAGCACTTAATACCATAAGGAAGAGTGCCAACAGTGAACTGCATTGCAGTAAAAATGGCATAAATTGTAAAGGCTTCCGCTGTATATAAGTTGTTGCCTGTTAAACTAAGAAAGACAAAATGGTAAATAGAGGAGTATTAAAATAAGACGTCTATTGGTGTTATTTCAGACAAAAGGAGAATATGTAAAACATACCTGTATCCAAGGAATGTGGCAATCGAGGCTAAAATTGTTATGGAAGGAGTAATAGTATTGCTAAAAGACTGCAAGAATGCTGCCTTTTGTAGTTGCTGTCTTTCTAACTCTCGTACACCTAGATTAAAATTAAATCTTCAGTGAAGGAATATATTTATACAAAACATACAATATTTTACAGAAAACAGAAATGAATAATCCTATCAGAATAACTAATAAAGAGGTAACCAATCACATACTTACTGCATATATTTTTAGCAAAGCTGTCCTCCCAAGCATACATTTTTATAAGCCTTATACTGTTCAGAATTTCATTCATTAATCCAATACGCTTGTCAGTGACTTGCACTGTTTTGATTCGCACCATGCTGGTTAAACTTGCAACGCCGGCCTGTAATTTTCAGAAAAATCAACAAAATAATCACTGTGTGGAAAACATGAAGAAAAAAACACACATCAAACTAAGCAGAAAACTAACCATCACAGGGTAAAACAGCAGTATAACTAAATTTCCTACTAATGCCCATGGTCCTAGCACCCAGACTGAATAGATAACACACATAGTGAACATGACAGGAGTTCCTGTTCAGATGAAACGATTATATCAGTAGTGACTTAGAGAAAAGAGAAACAGCCAACACAGTCCAGTTTTTTTTAGATTAATCTTTACCTAAAATGAGAACTCCCATGTGAGCAGCTTCAAATACCCTCTCTTGCTCATTTGTACAAAACGTTATTATTTGGCCCAAAGTTCTCTCTCCACCAGACCGAAGTAGCAGCATTTTCTTGTAAACAAGGTGTTGAATAGAGCCTTGTATACGAATTGCTGTAAAAAATAAATGGTAAACCTTTAAGAAGTTGGTCAATTGAAACAGATTTTATAAAGTGGATTCCAATTAGGTTTGAGCTTGCCTGTGTGTAAGCCCATTACATAAGCTGCCCCAAAACAATAATTTCGTAACAATTGCACAGCAAATAGAAATCCAACAAGGGTCAAGCCCCACGAAAGAGGTTGAGATTCATCATCGACATATTGAAGGATCAGGCGTTGTAAAATAGCCTGTAAACATAAGTAAAAACATTTACATGTATTATTGAATAGTTGCATTGGAGATGAATGCTAATTAAAGGAACTCACTGGACCAAGGAATTGAAATATGACAGCCAGAACCATCAAGACAGTAGCCACAATAGCTCTTGTTCTGACGATACGCCACATAACAGAAAAAAGTGATGCTTCAAATCCCTGCTGGCGAACACGGTTGTGCCATGAGTTTTCAAGTCGACAGGAACTTGCTTCAGCTCGGTCAGCAGGCTAGAAATTTGGGCAGAGGTTGGGAAAAGCATCTTTCATTAATAGATACTAAAGTTACTGGGATGAAAGAATTTGGTCACCTACATGAAGTTCATATAAATCATCTTGACTCAGTCCATGACGATAAGCCTTCCACATGAGTTTTGTCATCCAAGACACAGCAATGAATGAAAATAAGCCAGACGAATTGCCAGGCATTACTTGGCTGTCTCTAACAAGTAAAACAGATTCATCACATAAAGCACGCAACTTTGTACAACACACACGCAACAAAATAGAACATTCAACCAGTACATACGGAGGAGCTTTACGATAAGGAAGGAGGTGTTTCATTGCTGAACCATATTTTTTACCCCTTGGTTCCTCATTAGAGGGGGGACTTCTGCAATGGGTCATAAAACAATAAATTTTAACACACAATGCAAAAGATATTTTTAATTATCATTCGTGAGACATAATTCTACTTAAGCAAGCTGACCTAGATGAAGGTCCCATGTCTTCTTCGTCCAAATTGGTCTTTGTTTCGTCTTCAAGGCTAAGGCAAAGGGAACCTGTAGACAGCCACTTATGATGCCCTCCCCTGGTATCAGCCATACTACTGCAGCCAGTAGCTTACAGTCCTGCACAGAAAACCATAAAAACTAAAGTCTAAATGTTTGTAGAAAATACATAGAAACGATAACGCCTTACAAAGAATGCAAAGGAAAAGCAGTTTATATGTTCATATGTAAGATTTCTTTAAACACTATTTGAAAATCTTTGCCATTCATTAAGAATTCTAAATTCAACAAGTTGGTGGGAGCATTGGTACAATGACCTCAAAAGCGGACTTAAAATCGTATGAAAAGTATGCAGAGAAGACGACCAGTGTCCCTAGAAACAGTATGCACGAATAATACATGACAGACCACTGGGCCAAAATTCAACCAACAGGAGAACATCTTAATCCCTTTAAATAAGTTGATTCTAACCTATGTCAAGTTAAATACACATTTGAGACCATAAAGTTAAAGGACATAAAAAGAGAGAAACACTAGGTCACGCCCGAAAACTTACACTAGACAAGTAGGTACACACTTAGATTAGTACAATAATGCGTCTCATATTAAAATTAAAATGTATAACTAATGTAACGAAGTTAAGCACTGAGACACCGCCATGTTTATACAGATTGTTGTTGTTGCTGTGCTGCTGCTGTTGTTGTTGTGTCGTGCACAGCCCGCAACGCGGTATTTTTGAGTCGCCAAACTGTACAGTCGTTCTTTTGGCCCATGAGACAAGAGACTGGTGTAGGCTCGGACACGATCTGTATTGTATTGTATTTCACGATCATTCTTTCCATACATTAGTTTTACATTAAAAAACATTTTGAACATCGTCAGTTTCTTCAAGGATATTTGGCGGTCTAAAATAGTAACTTAGTAATAAAATTGTACCTGCAGAGAGAACACTGGGAAACTATAACATCACAGTGCCTCTACTATTTCTTTCTTCAGTATAGTTGTTTTCAGGGGTTTATGTTCAAAAGGAAAAAGAAAACATAACTTTAACTTTTTTTACTTTTTACCCTTTCCATGTATGTGTACAAAAGTGTGCTTTTGAATATCACGAGGGATTTGTTTTGAAGTGTCTCGTACTCCTAAATAATTGCAATGGAAATTGAGAAGGAAAAATCTGAGTTAGAAATATCACAATGTTCGGCCTGCATGGTGATATGATAAAGATGGGAGAAATTCACTTAAAGGATGGATGTAATTGTGGGATGCATTGTTGCAATGGCTCTTTAGCTGTTTAGTGGTTTGTCACGGCAGTGTAGTGTCGAGGAGGCCTGCTTCAGCCTCACATGTTGGAGTATGTAAATGATATGAAACAATTAAAAAACCATAATTTATTTAGTTGACTATCAAATGATGGTACAGTACATGGATAAGGTAGATGAAGATCAAAATGACTTTCGCTCCAAATATATATAATTATTTTATTTAGTATCACAAAGTTCTTTTATTCGTTAGATAGAAGTAAGAGCACAGCTTGACAAGATAGTCACCCAAGAATTAGTTTTATTACTATCAACGCTGTGTTTAGAAAGATAAGTGGAACTGCAAGAAAATAAACAATTATTACAAAATATTACAGAGCCCAATGTCTAAAAATAATGAAGGTAAAGGCAGGCTTACTGTTTAATACTTACTTCTTGTGACAGTCCTAATTGACCTAACCAAATGAAGAATTTGTGATTTTACTGATGGCTGTTCGCCAAATCCTTGAACCGGCGCATTTGCACCCCAACCAACTGTGTAAAAGCACATTTAAAAATAGAATTAGAAGTAATGATAGACGTTTCTAACCTAACAAAGAGGACAACAGGGCATGCCCTGGGTCCAACATACCATTTTTCAGAAATCTTTCTTCGTGAAGAACACATACTGCGTTCAAGATAAGAATGGATGCTTCCAAGAGATTCCATAATGTAAAGGCCATGTCAGAAGAACACGTCTGTCTACCTAGCTGTCAACTTGTGGACTTGGACAACAACAACAAACAACAACAAGAGGACAAAAGGCGGTCTGCTGCCTTCCCTGTTAGCAGGTTTTGGTTTTCGTTGTTGAAGTGTTTTATAAATATTTGAAATTCTCAATAATTCCGAATTCTCACGGGTTAAAAATTTAGGGTATCGTGAAAATTAAGAAGCCGTTTCATCATTTGTCACTGCCCCGTAAAATAATTTATCATAGACGAAGACGATGTTCCGAAACTGCGCGCCCTTTTCTTAAAACGGAGTCCGGAAGTCCCGGAAGTGCTCATAGAGGGCGTTGGGCGTTGGAGAGAAAGGCGAAAAAGTAAGAAAAAGAAAACGAGTACTGAGAATCGTAATGGCGAAGTAAATAAAGCTTTAGAGGCTTGCTGATTTGTGTTTGGCGGAGAAAGGAATATCTTAACTCTTGACGTTTTATATAGATTAATCACAAGGTACGTAGCTCTTCCTGCTCAAAGCCATGTGATTTTCCACTATGGGCTGTGTCATGAATGTTGACTGGCGGTGCGGCAACTACGTTGACTCATTAATTGCACATACAAACAAATATTTATTTCCAAGTGTCCTCTTTAAGAGGTCGTTCGCTTAGTGTGGAATGTTCAGTCTTAGATTTAATATGCTTCAAACAAATTTACGATGCTTTGCACCATGTATTCTGTGCTATTGTTAGTTCGTGTTGGCCTTAACAGGTTATTAAAAGCAAATGTTTTGGTTTCAGTTAAGACTCATCAATCTTTGTTTTAAAATGTCTTCTGGACGCCCAATCAAATGTGTTGTTGTTGGAGATGGTACTGTTGGTAAAACGTGTATGTTGATATCATATACAACTGACAGTTTTCCTGGTGAATATGTCCCAACAGTGTAAGTTCGTTCATTAAGGCACTGTTTCATTGTTTTGTCATTACATCAAACTTGAATGTTTTTATTGATATGCTTGTGTGCCTTTCCTTACAGATTTGACAATTATTCTGCACCCATGGTTGTGGATGGCATACCAGTCAGTTTAGGGTTATGGGATACAGCAGGACAGGAAGACTATGATCGCCTACGGCCCTTGTCCTATCCCCAGGTATAGGATTAAATATTTGTAACAACCCTCAATTGATCCTAATCTAGCTTGACATTCAGCTACTTTGTCGTTTTGTCCAATTAATTTTTATTGTCTTGCTGCTTTCAGACAGATGTATTTTTAATATGCTTTAGTGTCACAAGTCCATCATCCTTTGAAAATGTAACATCTAAGTGGTACCCAGAAATAAAACATCACTGCCCAGATGCCCCCATGATTCTTGTTGGTAAGTTTTATTTAATTAATAGGTCCTCTTGTGTCTTTTCATATATAGTTTTCTCCTTCTTGGCAGCATACATATTAATGGTTTCGAATGTTTTAGGAACAAAAATTGACTTGAGAGATGATCGTGAGACACTGACTCTTCTCTCAGAACAAGGGTTGTCACCGATAAAACGTGAGCAAGGTCAAAAGCTTGCTAATAAAATTCGAGCTGTAAAGTATATGGAATGTTCTGCACTGACTCAGAGGGGTCTTAAACAGGTAAATCAGTATCATTCACTTACCTATTGACAATATGAAACATAGAAATGATTAATGGATTGTTTGTCTTTGCAGGTGTTTGATGAAGCTGTACGTGCTGTTTTACGACCAGAACCTCAGAAGAGACGTCAAAGAAAATGCATTGTTATGTAGTCATTTAACTAAAGGTACAGAGGCTAATATGTGCAGTAATCTGTGCTTCAGGGTAAGGTAGCCAATCTGAGTCACCAACTTAACTTCAGCTTTGCTCAAGTTTCTTGAAGTTCTGTTTGTCATCAGTACACTAGTTTTGAAAAGAAATCAATTTCAATTTGAAACCAAAGAAATCAGCTGTTACAATTGAAACCCTGGAGTTGTAAAGAAGCCTGTTTGCAAAATTTGCTTCTTTCTTCAAACTTTATTTTTACTTGCAAGCCTTGTGTGTTAGTATTACATTACAACCACAAGTGCTTTTTTTTTTTTTTTTTTTTAAACTAACTCTGAGCTGTGCTTTTTAAATTCATTTGAGGTGAAGAGTGTTTTAAAAATATTAATGTGTCAATTTGGAGTAATATTTTTAAAAATTGGGAACTCCTTTTTTGTTTTACTTGTGTCTGACATAATTTTAATTTATTTTTTGCATTATCATTTTAATGCAGGAGGCAATTTCTAGCTATTAAGCACATATCTATTGTTTTCTCTCAAGCTATTTATTATATTACTGTAGATTCCATGAGACTGAGGTGGTTTGAATGTGAACTTTCTTCAATCTACTACTCCTTGTTAAGGTGTTGTGCTTTGGAAGTATCCAAGAGGAATGCCTCATCTATTTTCTTCCACTATAGCTGAGTTCATAATCTTTGTTTGTTCAAAACCAGTGCCATTAAGAAATATTCAATACGTATGTTCATTTGAATAACTTTTGCATTTGTTTTATATGTGTTTGATCTTTTTCAGACGAAAATGTTTAATAAGGGGTGGATTGTATTTTACAAAATCTCATTGTGTGCTTACTAACTCAACTCGATTCATCATTTAATTTTATGACAGTTTCTTGCATTGACTTTGTAAGCTCATTACATTATTCAATTATGGACTGATTTTGCACAAATACTTTTTGTTTCCTTTCTTTCAAAATGGCTACCTTCAGTTCAATTGAATATTGGAGGAGTGTGTGGTTTTTTTTTCAATCACTGCCCTTGTCATGATTTTTTCTTGTTATCTTGGATATTTATAAACTATTGGCCCTTGCCTCATAGACACCTTGTTTGTTAGCATCACTAATATTTCAAGAAAGTGATGATTTCTCTAACACTGCTTTTTTGATAAGTCTGATGATATGTGATTGTGTATCCCCCTCCCCTCTTCTCTTCCCTTTGTAACTTTTATCTTAACAATTGTGTGTGTATTTTGTTTGTATCTTATTTTTAAATTATTTGCACTTTTGTGTTTTGATGCATGGTTTATTTAATGAAGTAGAGTTTTATTGGGTTCTCTTGTGCCAGTGATCATGAGAGTTTGATTGGTAATGTACTTGACCGCTTTTATTGATTTGGTCAGCTGCAGTCCAATTTTGCTGACCAGAGGAAAATATTTGCAGTACTTCAGCATTTGTGCTGTATATTTGTATGTTTGTCCATAGAGCAATTTTAAATGGGATCATACTATACAAAGAGGGTAGATTTTCTGGGAAAATTTCTGTATGCTATGTGAGGACCAGATCAGGAGTCACTTTCTGTGTATATTGTAGTGATACATACTCTAACCAAAATTTCAACTCTGCTATATTTTCCCTTTTTATTGGCCGAGCCTGCCAAATGTAGGTCCCCATCATATGTTCCCTATTTTGACAAAAACAGCTTTATTTTATTATTACTACTTTCTCTTCAATCAGAACATGCAGGTCCCAGTAAAGTATTCTCTCACAATGCACTGCCATTGTAATTAAAGAAATTCTTCTATACATTTCTGGTAGATGCAGCACCTGTGAACCATGTTATTGGAGGTGCTAGTCACAAACCAAAGTAGGCCATAGTTGTTAGAACTAGAGTGTTGCCTTGTTATGACGTAATCTAGTCAGTATATGCCCATGTTTTTCATTTTTCTGCACACTCTTGTATATTCTCCCACTGTATTATGTTGTTAGTTATTCCTCATTGTCATAGCTGTGACTTGGGGTTATTATTACTCAATTAACCTTTCATTCAAAACAAAGTAGAATATCTGCGACAAACATGACCTTTTTCTTCTTAGAACATACTCAAAGCTACCAAAAGGTATGAGGGAAAGAAGTGTCCTGTGTAACCTTGTGTAACCTAGCAGGCCTAGGTCTGCTGTCAAAGCTGTGACACATTTTCATTGCATGTCTCTTTGATCTTAATGTTTCTGGTGCAGTCTCTTTAGTTTGCCGGTGTGTAAGTTTTTGTACCATTTGTATCTTACTTCAGTGGCAAAAATTGATCAACAAATAGGTTTTGTGTCATTTTTTTTGTGATTTTTCCACATTTTGTCTGCGATTCCCCAAACACTGCTCAGCAGTTTCTAATATATTTTGGGTACCTCAATATTTTTGTGTTGTTTTTATTGTATTTTTTCCATCTGTATGAGCTACATATAATATTAACTTGGAATGTCAAATCTCAACTCTTGTGACCAACAAGGAGATTTTTTTGTCATTTGTAATATTATTATAAATCATTAATAAATTAATGAAATCCAAAGCGAGTGATCTCTTGTCGTGCCCGGCGTTGATATCTCCCATTCCCATGTCTCTCATCCCTTGCAGTGGAGGCCACCCGTCAAGCCATCAGAATAGAAAATGGTGAGAAGCAACCCTCGCATACTGACCTGCCTTAACTTTTACGTCATAACAACCCGCTGTAATTTTTGTGTTGCAGGAGCGCCTGTATAGGCAGGTGGACCTGGAAGTGCCATGCACCTGTTTCCACCGTATTGTCGAGCTTAGTGTAGGGGAGGGATCTCAATCACCCATCACCACTCTCCCTTCCCCCGTGTTCCCCTCTTTCCGGGCTGCCGCCCCTGGCCGCCCAGGGCCGCCCGATCAGCTGCTCGTGACGTCGACTTCGGTGTGCCTTCTGGTGTGCCTTCGGGCGTTTCCGTACTTCCCCCACCCTTCCCCTCGTCCCTCCGCCCAATCAGCTGTTCCAGAGCTCCAGCCCAGCCGCCAGCCGGCCGGTCAGTCAGTCGCTCGCTGGTCGGTTGTCTGTGAATGGGTTCGGCTTGACGGCAGTAGGGACGAGACAGCACGGGACAACAGTCAAATATTGCCAACGCTCCCACATCGACTCATCTGTGGAACAGACGAAAACGTCCCTCCGTCACCTGGCTTATAAACTATTCCCCCATCGTTAAGTTATTATTACAACGACCAGAAGTTCTACTAGCGACTCAATTTATCTCTCGTCAACGCGTAGCGTTTAGTTTAACCCGAGTGTGTGATTGCACCGTACTTGTTCCCGACCTTCCGCGATGTTGACCTCGAGGTACGAGCTGCTGCCCGAGATGGCCTGCTTGTCGTCTGACGCGGTGTCGGAGGTGTCGACGCGGGGCTCCAGCATGTACAGTGACTCCCGCGAGGACCTGCGGGATTTGGCCACCTCGCTCGGCCTCCAGGACGTGGACCAACTGTGCCAGGACAGGTTCCGCGTGGACCGCCGCAAGCTGGAGCACATGCTGTTGGGTGAGTTGTTGACGAAGGGGCAGCGCTATACAGATTCATTTAATTTTCGGTCTTGCACTTGCGTGACGTGTATCAATACATAACGTTCACACTAAGGCAGTTTCGACTTCGACTATAATATGGGGGTTTAAATTTATCTTGAATTTTTGTATTCTATCATGCGTTGAATGAAATGGAGCGACTCGTTCAACCGGAGCATCGTTTATGCGCGGAGTATTTAGGCTCTCTGTACGGTTCTCCGAGTGCACTTGCTCGCCCAGACGGAGCCGCGCTCGAGATACTGAAGCGCTTTGAGCGGAATGGGATTTGTCTCAGTTTTGATTCCTGATTACCATAGCTCAATTAAAAGTATAACATTTTGACAACATGCGACTTGAACTGATTTTCAGAATCGGCCCCTTGTTTAGCCATGCTAACTCGCACTGTTTGAGCCCTTCGGTCAGACCGGCAGACCGGTTATCTCGTTATCTAAAACCTTTTTTAAAAACGCACTTACTTTTCCGAAAATTTTCCCTTTGCCTTCTTTTTTTTGTTGCTGTGCATCATTTTGCTTTCCGTTGTAGGTGACACCCCGACCAAGGAGACCGCTGCGGAGTTTTTCCAGCGGGTAAGTGCTTGGGGGGGGGGGGGTGTATTTAGGAGACTGTGCTGTTGCGGTACTTGTCACGCGTTAGTGCCTTGCCCACTCAACTGCCGTGCCCTAGCCGCCTTGCCGCCTTGGCCTCGGGCCCCAGGGTACCCGCTCGCAACCATGGCACTTGTTGGGGCTGCTATGCGCCGCCGTGGGTTGGGGCCGGTGGGAAGGTTGGGCTGGGACTTCCCTCCCTTTTTCGCCTCTCCTTCAATGGGTACGCGGCCTACGCGGCGTGTCGGTCTCGCCACCGACCGCGGCATGTCACCCTGGGCTCAAGTCACGACTTTGAAACTTGTCTGAATCAACTGACGACGCTCAGCTCTACCGGGGTCGTAAGTAGAGCGCGTATTCCCAGGTCGCGCGGGTCGCGCGTGAGGGTGGTCTGCTCTTGCGTTGCCGGTGCCCGTGAGTCTGTTTGCTGGCATGTGTACTCTCAGGGACTGACTTGTATTAGTGCCTTCTCCTTCTATTGTATTGAAGGTCAGCCTTCAGTCCCGCCGTGTCTGCTCGGCTGAGAGGCTTTGGGAGGAGCCAGCGCGCGGCGATACCCCTTGACCTGAGAATCGCGGGGTATATCATTGACTTGTAACTGCTGTTTTGATTTCAGGTCATGGACGAAACCAATACACTCATCATTTGGCCAGCTCGATTGAAGATTGGATCGAAATCAAAAAATGGTGAGATAATATTCGCCAGTAGTGTGCTCAAATATGTCATGCTTCTTTCAACTTATGCTTTTATGCTGTGTGTTGCAGACCCTCATGTTAGGATCGCTGGTCGACCCGAAGATGTGAAGGAGGCCAAAGCCAAAGTGATGGGTGCTCTGGATGTTAGGGTAGGTCGACCATTCATGTTCCTGCTAAAATTGTAACCTTGTGTCCTTTTTAATTTTTGACTTTTCCTTTATTTTTTTCTAGAGCAATCGAGTGACAATGAAACTTAATGTGAGCTATACTGACCATTCCCACATCATTGGAAGAGGTGGTTTGACTATCAAGCGAGTGATGGAGGATACTGGGTGCCATATTCATTTTCCTGACTCCAACCGAAGCAACCCTATGGAGAAAAGTAACCAGGTTTCAATCGCAGGAGACTTGGATGGAGTAGAGAGAGCCCGTGCTCGCGTGAGAGTAAGTAAATCACTTGAGAGTTTTACATTCTCTCAAATTCTTTTTTTGCTTTTTAATGAATAAAATAACTATTTTTCTGATTCTTATTTTTTTCCCCCTAGGAATTGACACCTTTGATGTTTAGTTTTGAGCTGCCTATTGTTGGAACACTTCAACCACATCCTGATCTAGAGTCACCTTTTTTGCTCTCTGTACAAGAGAAATTCAATGTTCAAGTTATGTTCCGTACTCGCCCCAAATTGCATGCTACTTTGGTGGTAGTCAAAGGTTGCGAATGGGAGGTTTCCCAAGTTAAAGAGGCTACTTTACTTCTCATCAACCATATGTGTGACTCTCTTGCTGTAAGTATCATATCATAATTAAAAAATGACTTAGTTAATGTAAATGATCTGTTCGAAATTTAACTTTGTTTGCAGAATCAGGTGCAGGTGCAAATGTCAATGGAAATCTCACCTCAGCATCACCCTACTGTTGTTGGAAAAAATAATGCTAACCTGAAAATGATTATGCATCGCACAGCTACTCAAATTATGTTTCCCGACGCATGTGATCCCAATATTCCATCAATTAAGAAGAGTAATGTGCTTATTACTGGAGTGATCCACAATGTGTACTTGGCACGTCAACAACTGCTTGTAAGTGGTATAAATTTGTTCAAATCTAACTTTTTTGGAAAAGTATTTTGGTTTTACCTTCTTTTAAATTTTTTTTTTAGGGCTCATTACCTCTTGTTTTGATGTTTGATGTTCCTGACGAATCTGTATCGATTCAAAATGAACAAGTGACTCAGCTTATGCAAACCCATGATGTACTCATTACAATTCGTCACAAACCAAAGCAGAACAGCATGTCAATAATTGTGAAAGGAATCGAGCGTAATGCAAGTATGTATGATATCATCTTTCACATTTTGTATTTTGTTCTTTACTGAAAACTTATGACTGGTTTAACTTGATAGGTAAAATTTATGAGGCAAGGACACAACTTCTTAACTTAAAAGAAGCGAATGTTAAGGCTGAGATCCCTCAATCTTATCAATTGATGGATAGTCCAACCTTGTATGACCGCAATTCAAATCTTGTCAAAGGTAATATTTTAAATCTTAGGAGATTTAAAACTATTTTCTTTTACGTCAAGTTTCAATTGATTTTTCTTTTGTTCCAATTTTATTAGGAGTTACTAGTCCATTTAGTATGCTGTCTATCAATACCGGGAACAGCATGTTCACCATGCCATCACCAACTTCTCTTTCTCCTGGCATTTCACCTAGTCTGATGTCACCAAGCCCTAGTGTGTCTTCTTTGGCATCTCTTGGGTTACCGTGGAGCAATGTGGGTCTCCTTCAGTCAGCACATGAGCACTCGAACCAAAACATGTCTCAGCACCCCTTTGCTCAGCTGCTGAACTCCCCTATGTCACCAGGACAACAGTATCATCAGCACAGTCAGCATACCACCAACAACAACTTCTACTTCAGCAGCTTTTGCCCAGGTAAGCAAGCTCTTTTGCTAGCTATCAACGATATTGTTTTTTGTTTCAAAAGAGAAAGAAAAAGAAAATTGTTTCTTTTACAGGATGCAAGCTCATGGTCTTTCGCAGTCCCAAGTTCCCTCAAGTGGACCTCTTTCTGATGGTGGATGCAGTGGCAGCTGTTCATCTCTGGGCTATCATAGTCGACCCAGTAGCCATTTATCGGGAAGTTCACAATCTCTTGACTGTAGAGACTATCAAGGTAAGAATGCATGATTTTTCTAAACTCTTAGAAATGACAGCCTATTAACTATTATTTATTCAATTCCAGTTCATTCATCCATGAGCAGCCATAGCCATGGTGGAAGTTCTCTTGGAAGTCCCAGTGCCAGTCCTCGTATGTCATCCCCGCGTCCGAATTTGAATGATTCTAAAGGTACTCATTTATTCCATCTGATAAGCTACAAGTGTGTTTCTCTTTAGCAATATTGATCCAAATTTATGTATTTGTGCAGAGCATTCTGAGATCAGCCATAAGAATGCTGAACAACAAAGGGCTTTGAGCTCTGCCATTGAATACCAACGCAAGAAAGCGCTTGCTGCAAAAGGTAAATCTATTTTATTTTTTCTGTCCTTGATCCATTGGGTCTTCGCTGATTTCCTTTTTTTTTTTTTCAGCCATGCAAATGAAACCTACGCCTGAAATTCTGCGCGTTCCTTCTTCTATATGGGCAGGCTATGGATTTAGCCATTCTAGTCCTAGTGCTGCGTTGAAGGAACAATTCAAGCGTGAAGGCTTGATCTCTGTAAGTTTCCATTGCATGTGTAGGTTTGCACATTGCCTGCAACGAAATTATGGCCTTCTGTATTGTGTTACAGGAGACTGAAGAAGCGGATTGTTGGAAGAATTCTGTTTCTGAAGGCCTTGGATCCCCATCTAGCTCTACCTTCCCTTCTGTAGCGGATCTGGGTGTGGCACTGACACCTGGGTCTGGCAACAAGGGCAGAGACAGTCCCTTTAGCTCAAGTAGTTATCTTGACTCCATACCTTCTTCATCTCGAGCATCTGTCTCTTCAATGAAAGCTACCGATCTGACTTCACTACTTATTTCCATTGGAATGGAAAAATATATCAGTGAGTTTTGTGATACTTCAATAGCTTATGTTTGAGTTGTATTCTTTTGCTTACTTTAGGGTTATTTCAGATGTCTTCAAGGAGCATGAAATTGACCTTAATGTTTTCATGACACTCACTGACAAGGACCTGAGGGACATAGGAGTGTCTACCTTTGGAGCTCGACGCACTATGCTTATGTCAATTTCCCGTAAGTTTTTTTTTCTTCTTGTCTTTTTAAAATTTTCTGTGCCAAACTGTTCTCAACTTTGTGTATTTTCTTAGAGCACAAAGGACAAAGCAGCCCATTCCGCTGCAGTGCAGCTCCAGGTGCAGAACGAAAAGGCTCCTCATCTACAACTGGAACCAACAGCCCTTCCGACATATGGTAGAATAATCCATGCACCATTCGGCCAACCGTACTAACTTTTATGCTGGTTCTTCTAATAGGGTACCTTTTCCAATGACCTATAAAATTTTCAAATTATTTATCTTGGATTGTGAAGAGGGTAATCAATCCAAGTGTCATGTTATATTGTATGATGAAGTTAAATGCATTTCTATTGTTTTTCTGACCAAAGTCAAAGTTGAAAATGCCTGTTTTGCCAGTTGCAAATTGTTAACTTTGTGACCATCCTGTAACTGTTGGCCTAAATAATGACTTAGGAAACACTTGGTGGATGGGTTTTGATTCTGGAATTAACATTAGAACTGAGTTAGAATTTCTAGCATTGTGGTACTTACTGGTGGAAGTGGAACTTTTAAAACTTAAATTTTATAGGAAATAGCCAAAAACATTTTATGAAAATGAGAATACAACTATAAGCATTTTTAAATTCTTTGTAAAGTAGTTTTTGGATTGATTCAATTTTTGTGATTTATTCTAGCAGTATGATGGCTAAAGTTACCCTGAATAAGAAAATAAGCTATGTTTTTGTAGTGATTGCTCTTTGTTTGATTGTGAGATGTGATGCTGCAACGATTCTCTCTTGATGGTCAATTTTACTGGTCTCTGCTATGTAGTCAGATTCCACAACTTTGTTTTGTGCTGACTAGGCATTGTAGACGTTGCAGTATTTCAGTACGGTGTCTAGTTTGTCATTGTATCAGTTGAGTATTTTAATAATTCTTTGAGCTTGAAATCCTGCTCAGACTGAGGCATTAATAACCTGGTGCACCACTTTTGCTGTGTCATGGATAAACAAAGTAACGTAGGGTTTTATGAGAGAACAAGACCTTGCCCACTTGCCAATATGGCTTTCTAGTCGTACTTTCTTACAATGCAAGTGCCAAAGTGATTTAACGTTTGTGAATTATATTTATATTTGATATTTGTGTTATGATTTTGTTATTGTTTCTTTAATGCATGCTTATATGAAATTGTAAAATGTCTGCTTTGTACTGGTATTCTCTTACCTTTAATGAGAGTATTTGTCAAACAGAGATTTTTAAGCATGCTTCTGATTTGTTTGCCTATTCCCCCTTCTTTTGTTTTGTTTTTTGGTGCATTGCATACACATGCTCCCTTAGTGCTGTTTTGTTTGGGGAAGGTATTTGTATTGAGATTGACTGACAGACCCTGCAAAATTTGTACGGTCTGGTTTAGTATGAGATGGGTTTTTGTACCAACTGTTTTATCATAACATCACCATGCTGGTTAATGGTAGATTAGGTAGTATTGCTTGCTTAATTTATTCAAAGTAACTGATCTGATTGATGAGCTGTGTGAGGAAGATGCTTTCCCTAACATAATATTCAAGTTGATGGTGGAGGAACCTCTTTGAATTTCTATACTTTGTAACATTTTTGTAATTTTATCACTATTTTTGGATAATTTTAACAGTAGTTTTTAATGTCTTCCATGTGCTAGAGGCTCAGGATTGTAATATGATTTGACCGATGACAAGACAGGAAGAGTTGATCTAAGTTATTATTCATGTTGATTGCCACAGAGTACTTCCTCGTATTGAATGAAATGGTGAAGTGAGGAAAATTCTTTATGATGATTTCAGTTGTGGTCGTTGTATTTATCGTACTTTGTTTGAAGACTTTGTAAGGTGTTTGGCTTAGTGTTAAGGAGAGCAGAATATTTGACTAGCGTCTTGTGCCATTTAGGTTACATCTGGAGGATGTATATATTTGTACCTGTACATTCCTTGCAACTGTTCTGTGATAGCTTGCTGCTGGTCTTGTAATGCTGCTTGACATTGTCAAGCTTTTCTTTAAGGTTTGAACTGTACAACTTTGTATGTAGTTAATTTACTTAGATAATAAATGTTTTCTTCACTCAATTTTTTTATTTTCTCAAACATCCTTTCCATGCATCTTTTTTTCAGATTTTCCAGAGTCTTTACACAGGCTCTCATTATTTCTTGGTCAATTGCTCTGCAAGTGTCCTCCATGACAAGTTGTGTAACAAGTTGCTCAGTCTTTGTCTTGGTGCCACTGAAATTCCAACATATTGTGATTGTCATCAAAATTGACCGCGAGTTAATTGTCTTCTGGGGCATTCCATTAACGGGTTTGAATCACGCGGTTGGCCGCCACTCCACGTCACGGACAGCAGGAAGGCGCTGGTTTCAGTGACGTCACTGCAGTTACACCTCGCACCTCGCTCTACGGCTGCTGCTGCCCAGTATTGCGTGGATGTTGTGACAAATACTTTGTTTTTGTCTTCATAAACTGTCTGTCTGCCAGCACCAATTCTTCGTCTTTGTCGTGACTACATCCTCTGACAGGTGAGTGCGTTACAAAGCCGACGTTTCGATGAAAGTGCGACTACGGTGTTTGAGGCATCGATCTGACATTGACTAGGCTGCAGGCCTTTGACGGCCCAGGACCCATCACTCCACCCTTTTATTCGGTGTTTTTCATGCAGTGCGACGAGTCACCTCCCTCAGTTGGGATCTAGAGCAGCGCTGCCTCCGTTGCGTGTGTTCAACTTATCGTCTTACCGCGGCTTCAACACCTGGAATCGCATTATACTGGCGTGACGTCAGACTGCGGTACATTTCGCTCGTGTTAATTCATTATTATTGTATGTATCACACCCGTTAGCTCAGTTAACTCACGACTTTTTATGACATATTTTATGCCTAACTTCCTTAAATTCTTAAATTTGTGGTGCATTGTGCTCTTTTTATCAAAATTGAAACGTTGATATTTTCGTCCGGGTCCGTGAAAAGAGGTTAGAATGTGTGTTTTTCTTTACAGCTTTGTGGTGATATGATATTGAAGTTGTAAATTGAGCATCTTTGATGGTACATCCCTACCCTAAGTGCCTCAAGTCTTTTAGTCACCAATATATTTGATTTATGTAAGTTACGTGAGGTTATGTTGATGTTTGTGGTGTTCTAAAATTCCTTGGATGTAGTTTTACTTATGATTTCTATATGCTGTGAAGGAAGTGTCCAATAGGGGTCAGAAGCAAGTTGGTGAGTTATTATGAAATGCGATGAAACTACTGACATCAGATGCTTTTTGAAATGACGCTCTCTTATGCCTGACGACATCAAACGATCAGTTCTGTTTTTATGGCGTCTGAGTCATGTAATATTTTTGTTGAAGTAAATTAATGTATGGCAGTCTGTCTAACAAAACCAAACAGCAGTCTTGTCATTATTTTCTGCCTATCGTCGTAACAGTTATCCATCAGTGGATGGTTTCTGTCAGTTTCAGCTCTTTATTAGCCAAGCAGGAGGTGATACATTCTTGGTCATGGACTTTCCCTCTTTCTTTGTCTAAAGCCATCATATTTCCAACATCTTTTCACTGCTAAGGCCAATGCTCTGGAAAGGACATGAAATGCGATTAACCTTGTGTACAGTGTCTCTTTGAAGCACTTATCTTTGCTTACGCTTTTCTGACCCAAGTGGAGATAAATAATGCATAACCGGCGCTGCGTCCGTACGATGAAGCCGGTAAGAGGTGGTGGAGCATTTGTCGTTTTTAGTAGTAAGTATTGTCCATGAATGAATTGGGTATGTTTCGAGAGGACGCCGGATTCTACTGCTAGTGAAGAGGTGATGCAGATATCCCCACCGTTTTAGCTCCCCGTATACCGCTTCTGGATTTATGGTGTGTCAAAGCGATATGGTGGCTGGGGCGGCCGGCCTCAGGGACCTAAGGGTGGCCAGCCCTGCCGCCAGGATGGCGCCCTGCCACCCCTCGCCCATGGCACGCCGGCGTCGGGACCGTCGGGACACCCTAGCCGCTCCCGCACCCCGAGAGCGCGCGCGCGCCGGCGCCTCCGCCCGCCCACGCCTCCGCTCAGAGTCCCTCCTCCCCCGCCACGCCGCGCCCCTCGCGGCCCCGCCGCGCCCCTCGCGGCCTCGCTACGCCGCCGCGCCGCTACGCCCCGCGCGCTGCAGAGCCGCGCTGCCGCTCTAGAGCCCCCACCCCCAGCCACGTGCTCTGCGCTACGCTGCGGCCTGCTGGCCACCCTAAGGGCAGGGCTGGCAGGGCCCCACCCCGCTCCACCCCGCGCCACGCCGCGCCACCCTCTGCTGTGAGATCAATATGGAGCCGGGCTGGTGCTGCCGCTGCCACGCCGCCCCCGCCTCAGGGCGCCTCGGCCCCCGCCGCCCCCGCACGGCAGCGACGCCCCTCATGGACCCCAAGGGTCGGCCTAAGGGTCGGCCGGGTCGGCGAGGCCGTGGACGAGCGCGCTCTCCTTTGAGGGCCTGGGGACGGGCTGAAGCGCGCTGAAGTCCGCGGGGCCTCTTGGCCGGCGAGCGTGCTTATTTGGCAATCTTTCGCCGGGAATGGCGAGGCCGGGCGTGGCCGGGCGAGGCGCTTCCCTCTTCCCCCTCCCCGCGGCCGCGCGGCCTGGAGCGGTCTGGAGCGGCCTGGAGCTTCGGGACTTCGAGCAGCAATCAGTAGTTGCCGTTCGGAATGGTGCGCCAACTTGGGTCGTTTGCGTCGCATGTGCAACCTCGGAGGACTAGGTGGAATAATTTAGGTGCTTGGCGGACAGCGAGTAGTTTGGCGCACTCGCGCCGCGGGGACCCAGTGTACTCCCGCCTGTCCCGAACGCGCGATGGCAATACGTCGCAATAAAAGGTGGAAGGGTCACTCCGACTCGAATCGCACCTCCGCCCCGCCGGCCTGTCTGACCGTACAGGAGCGTCCGTCAGTCCGGCGCGGCGGCGCTGCCCGGAGTCAGCTGATGCCGCGGCGGTGCGGCGGGGCCTCCCCTTGCCGGCGAGGCGAGGCTCTCTGTCCTGACATAGATGTAAGTTTCGTGACGTCATTGGCGAGGCGATCAATGCCGGGTGGACCCCATGGGGGACCCCGCCTGAGCCCCAAAGCGCCAAGCGGCCCGCCGCGCCACCGCCCCTCACTCCAGCGACTTGATTCGGCCTCGCGTGTTGCATAATTGGCTGAGCTGCGCGCCCCGCTCCGCCTAGCTCCGCCCTGCTCGCTGCTGTTGCCTGTTGGCTCCCTGCTGCTGTGGGCCTGTGGGGCTGTAGCATTCGCAGGAGTCTGATTCCGAGAGCTCTCTGTCTCTTTCGCATCCATACGGAACGCCCGTTGAGTGCGAGAGGGACAGAGTGACGAAAACGACTCGGAATCTGATCGCAGAGGCACAGACGCTGCGTCCGCGTTTCGGCCTCGGTTCGGATTGCCTTGATTCTCGCGGCCAACTGTGCCTTTGCGTTTTCCGAGAAACGGTGCGATGACTCTCTGCGTCCGAACGACTCGCGCGTTGGATTCTCTTCTCTTTCCACTGCCGGCTGTCTGGACTGTACTGGCTGGGGGCTGTGCCGAGCCAGCAGCCAGCCTGAGCAGCAGGCAGCGGGTGCCTGTCACCCCGACTAAATCCTGCCCCGCCGAGCAGTTCCCGGAGCCTCCAGTGAGTGGCACGCGGCACGCGGCGGGCCTAGGCGGGGCCTAGGCTTGTTGGGCCGCTGGGAGTGCCAGGCTTCCCCCTGGGCGTGACGGCCTGGGCGTGACGGCCTGGGCGTGACGGCCTGGGCGTGACGGCCTGGGCGTGACGGCCTGGGCGTGACGGCCTGGGCGTGACGGCCTGGGCGTGACGGCCTGGGCGTGACGGCCTGGGCGTGACGGCCTGCCTGTCCGCCTGTTCGTCACGTCTGACTGCCTTAGCAGTTTGCGAGACGGTCGAAGTCAGTCGGACGGACCGACGGGCGGACAGACGGACGTGAGGTTCGGCGGTTCAAGTCGTTGCCACCTCACCTGGGGAGCCTGTTAGGCTGTCGGGCCTGTCGGGCGTGGCGGGGCGTGCGAGTGGCGGTCGTCGAAAGCACGCAAGTCGCGCGGCGTGCTCGAGCCCCTTCAACCCGCGTCGGGCGTGGCGGGGCGTGGCGTGGGCCTCTCGCCGATAATATTGCATCCGTGGAGCGCGATTCGCTGCAGGGATTCGAGAGATCTGTCTCTGTTGCACCCCCAGGAAGCGCCCCAAGCGTGCGAGAGAGACAGAGCCGGCGTTCGTCATGATACGACAGGGCTGCCTCCCGTCGTACGGATTCCCTCCTCGGTCGGGGAGTCTGGCAGTGCCGTGCTCCTCAGAATGGCAGAGTGTGCGCCGCGGCCCTGAAGGAAGTTTTGCGCGGAGGCCCGTACACTGCGACGGCCATTTGCGGCCAACGGCACGAAGGTTGATTCCGAGCACTGCCCTCGTCCTTCTGTCTCTGTCGCACTGAAGGGGCGCCCCGTACAGGTGCGAGAGAGACTAACTGCTCGGCCGGCACGCTGCCGCCAACGCGGTGCCTTGCAGCGGACGCGTCAACCCGAGCCGCACGCTCGCGAAGCATGGCGAAGGCGAAGCATGGCGCCGAAACTGCTGTGTTGCAGATTCAACAGCGCGACCGAGCGCGCGCGCTGCAGACTAATTCTGAGAGTAGTTTTGTTCTCTGTCTCTCTCGTGCACTCGTGGGGGGCCCCGTATCGGTGCGAGAGAGTCGGAGCGACGAAAACGACTCTGCTGGAAAGCTGGTGCAGCGCGAAAGATGCATGAGTGGCCATCGGGCGGCGGGGCGTCGTCGGGTGTAAGGCTTGCGGCCGCCAATCAGGATGATGATGTGTACAGTGGCGCCTGCCCGGCCTGCCCGGCCTGCCCGGGCTGGCGCTTGCATATACATGAGCGCGGCGGGTGGTGCGGGGTGGCGGCTGGGGAGCGGCACGTCATCGATGTGCAGGCCGGCCGGCCGGGGGTTCGCGACGCAACTGACGCAACATGGAGACGAGGCGACCCAGTGCCGTTGTCTCCGTCACCCTTCTCGCTCGTCTTGAGGCGCTTGTCCTGCGGCTTGTCTGGCTCGCTGGGCCGGAACAGAGGGAGAGGGAAGAGGATTGAAATCCGCGCTGCCTACGCCACTGGCAGCGGGGACAAGCTGGCCAGGACAGGGGACGCGCCGCGCCCGATCTCGCTTTGAGCTGCAGAGTCGCTAAGTGAGACTCGAACCGAGCGTGTGGCTCCACCAATGGATTGCTCATTCGCGGAGCGATCAATTGGTGGGGTCACACGTTCGGTTTGAGTCCCATTTAGCGACTATGCAGCTCAAAACGCGTCTAGAGTTTTGGCCGCCGCCATCGGTCTTCTGGCCCACTGTGTGCTGGAAGGGCACGGTGCGTCCGGAAACACGCACCGCGGGCGCCTCCAGGCGGTGACGGAGACGAAGTCGCCCCGGGGGTGCTTTCGGGCGCGGCCCTGGGGGAAGGGGAGGGCTGAGCGAAAGGTCACGCGCTGCTTTTGATGTGGGGGCGAAAAAGCCGG